CGGACTAAGAAGCACTTAGCCTTCGCTGGCAACATTATCTAATTCTATAGCTACTTGAAGAAGAGTAATCCAGTTTCCCAACGTCTCGGTAACAGCTATGTTAACGTAATAATGTGAAATGAATAGTTTGAACTACTTTAGTCCATTTAGATATTGCTCTTCCTTTCAGAAAAAGATGGAAATAGTCCGATGAGTGAGGTGAACCTCAAAAAAAGGTTAGTGTTTTATTTTTTCAAGACTAATTTTCGGTGACTCATTGAAAATTAGGACATCTGCTGGCATGATACGGGAATCTATAGGTTCTCGTTCCCGCGAAAAATCAGGAAAAAGCTGAAAACGAGGAAATACAATAGGGATTTTCTTTCAAAATAGACAACAGTATTAACCAGCACTCCACTTCTTTTACTAAAAAGATCCTTCTACTCACCAAAATATGAAAATAATACGATGAGCGCAGATCATAGATTTTCTGTGGTGAAATGGTGTATGTTGTCAGTTGTTGTGATATTCGACTATTCTTGCATAACAGAGCTTCACTATGAAATCTCCCTTGAGGTACACGAGAAGTATCAAGGATATCTTGCGATGGTTAGTTTTACTGCTCCTGGTAGAAGAGGTCCTTCGTTTTTTGCCTTCTGAGTGGTGGAAAACTTTGAATAGACCTTAGTCGAGCCTTGCTGGCAAGACGTGATCTTATCTAACGATGATAATTTTAGCCGACTAGAGGGATTAAGCTGTGTTGGATACAGGCGCCTCTTTGGGATACCTTGTTCATTAGGCTCCATCGAACATTGTAGAGTTGCCTGAATGCACAATTCGCCTAGTATATTTTGAATCCTCTCAGATGATTTTCACAACCATTTTGCCGACCCTGCAGGGTTGGAGGAGGCTTGGTTTGCGTGGGCCATGCATCGAACCAAACTATATGCATCGTTAGCTACTTTTAGCAGCTTCTCTTTACGGACACATCACACAGTGCAGTATGTGATAACAGTCAGAAAATTACGTATATTCTTAGTCTAGTGCAGAGTACTCAAGAGAATCTGGCAAAGCAGGGTTAGCACTCACTTCTGGAATCCATTCATATTTCAGGACATAAAATTCGCTTTTGTTTCGGATTTCATCCCGCAGCAGATGACACACACTTCTAACCGGCTTGACTCAATGTCTCTCGTATGAGCGGGGATTCGTCGCCCACTATGGAACAACAAAGAATGTACTATGTGACTACAAGAATTCTCAGATTCTTAATACTTCTTGCCTTTAAAAGCGTCACAAAACTCTTCGGAATTTTAAAAAGTTCTAAAACGACATATTTAAAAGAACTCCTTCTGAGAAGAAAGCATCTAGCAAATTTCTTTAAAGTGCAGCCGTTAATTGCTCAGTCACGTTATTAACTAAAGTGCTATGATGAAAGGTTTAACTTTCAAACTGGTTATTCATTCTTACACTCACTAAAATTTCATAGCTTTTATCACTTAACGAAAACTGTTAAGCTATACAAAACCATTGATTCATATCAAATAGAGAACAGTGTCGTCTCAACATTTCAATCGCATGCAGTTAGTTTAAATGAGGAGTCCTTGGTGTCTCACATAGAATTTGTTTTTATTCGCAATGAAATCCTAAAAGCTCATTTCTTCGCAGTTGTAACTGCCTATTTAATCTAATGAAAAGTTACAGTGTCCTATGAAAATTCATTACGGCTAGCTAGGTTCTACCAGAGAAGCGGGGAACTCGTTTCGAAACGAAATCAAACGATATCGTGACGCTCGTCAGAAATAAACAAAGTCGGACACCTTAGTACCTTATTCATTAGATTAATTGAACTTTTTCGTTTTCTCAACTTTTATGCACTGTATGTTACGGCTTTCCTTATCCATTCCATAGCCATCATTCAATGATACTGGAATAGATAACCCGAATAGAACCACTATTAGTCATCTCAGCTTAACATGAAGTGCTCCTCGCTTTCGTTCCAGGATTGATTTCACTATGTAGGCATAATATGGTGAAATAATTCTTAAGGATGTTAGCGATTGCTGACCTCTGTGCGGTAGAAAATTTGAGATTGTCGCCATTTCGCTGTTCGTCACGGTATTCCGACGACGAGTTCCACAGTCGTCCTTGACGCTCATTGTTCGTCTTCGTTTCACTTTACATTCATTTCCTAATGCCGTTTCTCTTGTGTTGTAGTATCAGATCACAGTCATCCATATCTAATTCTCTATCCGCTGTATTCTTTTCTAAATGAACTATTCTCGTAGTTATAAACGATATTAACTAAGTATTTCATTGAGGAAATAGCATAGAGAGAATAGTAACCGAAAACTAGTTATCGATGGCATTCTCTCGTCCTAAATCGCTCCTGCATCAGTGTTCATGGACTTTTAAAACGTAATCCACATTTGATTAGATAGCCGAATAAAATCAATAAACCTTTGATGTACATTAAGTGACTTAGCCTACACTATAATAGCAGACACACACATGACGGCTATCGATTAGTTCTTTGATGATATCTGATGCACTGGAACGATTTGCAGAATTTTTTCACTCTTGAAAGCTTACTTGTGAAGGACGGACCACATGGACAGTTGAAGTAACTGGGTATTTTGCAAGAATAGAGAAAAAAGACAAAAACTGCAGGATTTCCAAATCCTTGAGACTCTTCCATGACTATGACCGGCTAGTGTATTTTCAACAGTTTTCTTTCCTATTATTGGTTAAAAGAATTTTATTTTGTTACTAAGGAAAATAAGAAGTTTATAAACACGAAAGTCGAAAACAAGAGCAATAAAAATTTTCAGTAACTTTCCAGTATTACATTTGTAATTTGATGAGGGATACGTTACTTATGTGAAACTCAGAGATCAGTCAGAGACGCTGCTATTTTTAGTTCCTGCACAGGAAAAATATCCTTTCCCTCATTCTCTGTTTCTCCTTTTCTCTCTGTTTGTCTCTCAGCGCCTCCTATTCCCTGTTTCTTTCAGTCGCTTTCGTTCTCACCCTCTTTCTTTACTTTTTTAGAGCATGTCAATTTGCCAATTCTCTTTTGAAGTGTAACCGTTTTCGACTGAATGGTTGAAGAGTTCGGATTTTTCCCCGAACATCACCATCGACATCAACACTGGTCAATTACTGAGTCATTTATTTGTTCTCATAGAGGGTTCGTGTCACTCCACCTCTCTATAAGTCTATTTTTAGACTTGCGTTATTGTTTTCGGTTAAGTTAATCTTCGTCTCACGTCTCGCTTTATCCAAATAGAACTACGAAATCCTATTTCGAACATTCCTAAATGATATCGCCATCGCATTTAATAGTCAGTTTTAGATTAACTTCTGATTTAGAGGTCTTGGCTATGCGCTCGTTAGTTGCATTTTTCAACTCAGTTATGTTTATTTTTCTAGCATAGTTATCTAATAAAGTATTCATCGGTTTAAATAAAACAAACTCGCACATTCTCTGCAGTTTTGAACCTCTCGATCAACGTTGTTTGTTCAGCGGCATATGACAATCAATTAGATGCCCGGTGGAGTAAAAATTTTAACAGAAGGCGGAAAGCAATGTAATCCATACTTTCTGGATGAACCGGCTTTCTTCCGAGCAGACAAAAGCAAGAGCTACGGGTTTAAATGCTATTTATGAAAACTGGTGCTTCATTAAATATCACTGTTTCAATAATAAATATAATAATATTCTTATGACTAGGACTCTTATTTATTCATTATCCGCTTAAGTAGTTTCTGTAAAGCACTGTAAAACTGTTGCGAAAAGAAATAACTCTATAAATGAAGAATTAAGAAAAAACTTGGGCATAGAAGCCTGGGATGACTAATGAAGAACACTAGGTCGATCTTTATCTACCATAACACTCCAGTTCCGCTCTCGTTTCTCATCGATGACAGAATTTCCAATTCCTTCCGAGAATTCTGGCTTTTCACTGTCTATTTCTTTCGAATGTACCAAGTTCTACACTTGGTTCATTTAGATTTTTCTCTGAATATTTTCACGATTTGTTTTTAGTTTGCAAAATTTCACAGCAACGTGGTAAATACATTATACATTAGGCGTATATATATATATATATATAAGAATATATATAATATATACACGCATATGTAGATATATGTATTTATACACCCACAATGTTGCTGAAATATTTGCAGAACTCTGGACCGCTGGTGTCTACGGTGGGGACCGAACATGCTATTACCCTTTCTTGGGGCTAACGTGTTGGCCACCACACCATGCGAGTCCTTCGTTTCGCCTGCCTCTTAGGCGTATTACTGACCTATAGGCGCTATCAGCATGTATATAAATATATATATATATAAATATATATATATATGGGAAGTTCATCTGGTTTCCTTTCAAATAACTTCATCTTGCGCTTCCCATAATCTCGTCATCTCAGAATAATTTGACTTCTTAGCAGTAAAGTCTACCTCCATTTGTCTTTGTCGCGTGCCTCAACTCGCCACCGATGCTATTTACATCACAGGTCTTATTCTGATGGTTTACTTTAATCCTACTGAGTTCGTGAGATAGCACTTCATGTTTTTTAGGCTCATCCATAAGGCTTGTAGATTTGCCATTAACCCTTGTGTGAATAACTATCCAAAGATTTCATATACGAAGCATAACTTTTGATAACTGCTCGATATGCTCTATTTACTCGTGTTCTCATTTTCATGTGCCGCTCTATTAACTTTTAGTCTGAAATAGGTCATATATGACTGGAAACAAGTAGCACTTCCAGGTTTTTTTTCTCACCTGCCTTCACCTGGTAGTTGGTTTCCTTGAAGTCCTAACATATTTTCATAATACAGCGAACACTAGAAGTGAAATAAACATTAGCACTAGATAGGAAACAAACAATATTTTGTCGAAACTATCGAGTTTTCCTAGAAAGTGGACAGTTGATGTTGGTTTGTTCATTCGATATCATATCGGGTGCAGCTGCTTTGCTCTATAGATACACTCTTTAGATGTTTCCATGAGGCTACAACAACAGTACGTACCAACTGCTCCACCAGAAGAAGCCTACTATCTCCCATCATCATCACCACCACCTCCACCACTACCGCCACGTTATCCGCCACCTAGTTGGCAGGAACCATCGGTTGCTTTACAATCATCCAAGCGGTCCAATCATGTATCATCACCGTCGTACCCAGCACCACCACCACAGGGCCAGAAATTCATAAAACCAGCTAATCGAATTCGTCCCGTAAATCATCAGGGTCAAAACTCATTTTATGGGCATAACTATGAAATGATAGACAAAAGTAGAAATATTGAACATGTTTCACGATTTAATGTGAAATCCGGTAAACCTAAAGAGATGCTCAATCCTCAGTTATACACTGAAAGGTGCTTTTTCAATGACATTTAAACAGCTACAAAAACCACTATTTGGTTTTAAAATTACAGAAGATGTACCGACGTTCTCTGCTGCTTTCTGTTTCTTATCTTCACTGCAGGATGGGGTTTGGTGGCGGCAATTGGTGAGTTGTTGGTTCAGACCGGTTAGTGCAGCTAGTTACCGAAATGCGATAAAGTGTGTTACGTTAATGGTACCTCAGCCATGATTAAAAAGTGAAGAATAGTTTCAAGTTTGCTTAAAATTTAGGCTTTCGTTGGGGAGATGCCGAACGTCTCATTTTGCCAACGGACAGTGCGGGACGGCGTTGTGGGGGATCACGTGGGCGATCCTACAACCTGACGTTAGCATAACTTAAGTAGTTTTCCATAAATCAGTACAGTTATATCACCTAACAAATACCAGTTGCATTTAGAACTCAACCTTACCTGTATTATTTTGATATAACAAAGTGTATTTCTTATTCAACTGCAATTGGAGGATGTCAGACACCTCAGGTGAGAAAGACTCTCGAGTAATATTTTCACCCTTTAGTCTTTTCTAGCAATGAGTTACGGCTCTTGGAGTAGACTAAATCCCTTCGGTTTACTCTGATGCTTTTTGATGTGATAGCGCTTACAACCGAATGTGCTTTAGTAGCAGTGTGATTCACAACGAATCGATCCAGTATCCATTACATTCCATCTATTTAACTTTCTTACTTTTAGATATGCGTATCAAGGTGCCCTTCTAAATATTTTTCATATTTGCAGTTACAGAACCCTACCGCATCACTATTTGATTTCTATGAATCGGTATGTTTTATTGGAATGAATGTTTAGTTTCTTTTCTGGAATTGAACACAACTCCATGGGTCAACCAGACCTACGGGAACATGTTTCTTTGATTTCAGAAAAACTTTTAAGGTAGAGAATTTATTGTATTGCACTGAAGATGTTGACAAAAACTCGATCGCCAACTTTGCTATACTGCGAAATTATGTTCATCAAAAGAAATGCGCCTCATATACGGTAAAATCAGCTCCCGGTATGTTCTAGGTTGAATTAGATTTGCTGTTCGTGAATTTATTAATTAGATTTGTATTAAAATCGTATAAAGACGGGCATATTAAATATGTTTCCTACAAGGATAATATTTCGAAATTCTTAATGTATGTCTATCGAAAAAGATTTCGGCGTTGATCAAATCTTTGGGAGATGCGCAATGCATTTGGCTTCTTTAACATCGTTTGGAGGTGATCGAAGTCATATCTGGCCTTCACAATGACTCGCGGTGCCGATGTAGTGAGCCAGTCTGCTATCCTTCCAGACAAGTCTGGTACCAATTTCTTGACCCGAAGGGCGGTAGGCTTGGCGAGCCACGACGCGGGAATCGATCCGTCGTGTGTATTGCAAGGCGCTACCGACCGCTGCGATGTGTCTACCGTACATAGCAGAAATGGGTAACCTTTACTTTGTAATACAAGGTCCTGCCATTTGTAATGGCGATGTGCGTACTCGATGTCACTGAAAATAGGTGGATTTTAAATTTTTGTGTTCTGTGGTAGTTTCTAGGGTTTAGTAGAACTGGAAAATATCTATTAAGTTTTTACCACGCTTCTGAATGAGTTTTTTATACAGACGTTTATCTTATCTACATGTTAAGCAACACAAGGAGTAGATGGAGTCTTACTATTTGAAGAAGCCGCAGAAATTTTTATAGTGGAATGTCCTCTAAAGGGATACTGTAGAATTATGAGTTCTCGAAAACGTCATAAAGTTACTTTAAACAGAAAACTTTGCTACAGTGAAAAACTTTGAGAGAAAATGTGCTAGGAAAGAAGTGTCAAGGTTTTTACTCTCCAAATTTTTTTCTACCTTTCTAAATTGCTGAACTAATATGCTTCCTCTTTTAGTGTTGTTCAGCAAACGATGAAATCGATTCGATCATTGGTTATGTAGTGCTTTTTTCTCATTCATTAAGTTAGTTCCGTTTTAAGTGCTCGGGCGTTGTGTGCCGGAAATCCTTATCGGTGCCGTCGACAAGTTCAGTGATCTGCAAAAGTCAAACATCTCTTTGGACACATTGAAGACCATGTTTGGTGATGATGGTACTATTCCACCTGATAAAGCTGTTAATGATAGCGAGAAGTAAGTGCCACATATTGAGAGCACTTTTGAGGGCATAGGACAGAAAGGAGTGGAACGAGCTTGTGTAAGATTACTCCCTCTGTGTTATTACACAATTTATACTTTTCCAATACTAATTTACAACTTACCAGTAACAAAGGCAGTAAAAGATGACAATGATGGCAATAAAATAGGAATGCATAGAGGAAAATTCGGCATGACAACAATTTCATGAGTTAACGACAAAAGATATGATCAGGTTTTTAAAAAGTAATCTTATAAAAACGCGCTGAAACGATTTGAGGGAACATTAAAGGTGTCCTCAGCCTATAACTTGGCAAAGATAAATGATTTAGCCCGTAAGTTGCTCTCAGCACAGTCCGCAAGGAAAATATGCAACTACCTTGCGATGAAATTTATTCACGGTGTTGGTAATTATTAGAACTGGGTTGCTAAGCTGTTTCCAGACAATTGCTGAAGACGTTCCTAGCTTGGGTTAATGATCATACAGGTGCAGACGAACCTCCAGCTCCATTTGAAAAATTTAGGAGGGATAGTACCGCTGAACTGGACAATCTCCTTATCAGTTAAAGGTTTTAAAAAGGAAGGAAAGTTATGAAATGCTACATTTGACGAACAATGTCCATATTTAAGAAAAACGTGTAAGCGTAGAGACTGGTTAAGTTTGCCTATGTAATAAATCGATTTCTTATAGGTACATTGGGCAAGTTGTCAATTCTGAAGGTGTCATTACAAAGGTCATTCATGATCTCTTGAAATCCTGGTGGCAGGTGAGATTTTCATACTAGTTTTTAGAATTTTATGGACCAAAAAACGAATGGGCTTGCATTTAACAAGTGAATTTCGTCCACTCAAATATTCACTAAGGCTTGTGCCGAAGCACAATATTACGTCGTATGTCTGGTAGGCCTATGATTAAGGTCTAGAATAGTGACCAGGCTTTAGACCATATTTTAATACAGTTTAGGGGTCATTTTCATTGCTACTCTCTAAACTTAATTTTATACCTGAAATGTGGAGTCGGAACGATTAATTTAAGTATTTTCTAAAATCATAGATATTTTTCGAATATGCACTATGTGGTTTTAAAACACTATTTTGAAAATACTTTGATGAATGCCTCCTAACGATTTACCGCTTCATCGTGGCTGAGAAATGTTCCTGGGTGTCGGGCTGCGATGTGCAGTGAGGAGATTCGTCCACCGGCATGGTCTCCCAAGCTGAGAACGAATCCGGTTTTTCCAAGAGAAACCAATACCAGGACCCACCACCATCCTGGTATCAAAGTCGCATGATGGCAAATCTCCCTCTGTTCCACAAGGGGTGCAACTGCCTGTGGTGGTGAAGAAGTGGGGCAGAGTATGGGCAGGCTGAACTCGTGATTCCAGGAAACCACAATGACTTGACCATCAAATCTCTAAAAATGGAGATTATGCTGGGGCCCGCACAACTAGTGAGGACGGGTCATTCAAGTATCAAGTTTTATGAATAAAGGTATAAATGTTTTTTCAAAAGTTTTGTCGTTTAATTGTTGTTTTAATAAACTTATGTAAGTATAGTAATGGTTTATAGTGAGATCAATCACTCTCCATCATACCTTTTCCACCTTTTCTTAAAGACCGTCTGGGTTGACGGAAACACTGAAGTCGAGAACACTTACCGTTTGATTTCCAAGCAAAATCTTAGTTGGATCAAAATTTTTTTGTTGTATTTGGTTATAAACCTTTTTCTATTACACTTAAGATACTCGCACTGGTCGGAGGAGCCGGTGTACTAGCATTTCTTTGGACTGTGATTCTACGCATTCTGGGTGGCTTCATGATTTGGACGTCAATTTTCTGCATTATTGGTGTCCTTGGAGCCGGTTAGTGAACATCTACTCCATTACGTTGAAATATTGGCTAAGATAAACCACATGTAATTCACGCTTTAGCAGGCCGACTGTCCGAAGTGAGTCGTATACGAATCACTTCCTTTTCGATGGTCTATTTTGTCGCATAGAAATTTCTGCTGCCTTTTTGTAACAATTCGGTAGTGTATCAGTAGTGCCTGGTGTCGACTCGAAAACATTTTATTCTAAGCTTTGAAAGATACAGAGAGCTTTTCACAAATAAGTTCACTGCTAACTAATTTCACTAGTAATCGACTGACATTCCAATACCAATCGCTATGTTGAATCCTGGTTATCGCATGGTACGGAGAGTGCAAAAAATTGCAAAACTGGGCTCAACATGGGCACAAAACACTTTCAATTGTTGGTATTAAAATTTTTGGGTTATGGGTCATACTAGTACTTAGTAAATAATTGTGGTCATATGACGCATCATCTAGAGTGATGGAGCCATGTTCCTTCGGATTATAGTAATGTCGTGTTCGAGGCCTCCAATTCCTCTGGTTATCGAGAAGTTATTTTTTTATTGCCGAGAAATCAGCACTCTCCCAACGACATAAAATTAGGTGTCATTTTCTTTCCCGGCCACACAAAATCAGAAGTGGACACAAATGAGGTTAGTGTAAAAGAGTTTGGCTTTGACCAAACCTCTAAGGGGTGCGACATGCATTCGGTTCAATTCATAACATTGTAGAGGTGAATCGCAATGGATATTTGGTCTACACAGTGACTAACAGAGCTCTACCAGTCAACTAATTCAATGTTGTCATTCTTCGAAACACGTCTGGCATCTATTTGCTGGCCTCAGAGGAATGAATTACTCGGTTATTCGGATTTGGAGTCGAAGAAATGACCATGTCTGCTGGATTCCAGGGCATCTCTTAGCATTGCACTGCGCTACACTCACTCATATTGAGCTAATTATCCGGTAAATATGTGGTAACTAAAGCCACTCTGACGTTTTTCCTCAACTGAATCCAGAGCATAAATTCTTTAAGTTAAAAATAACAAAATAAAAAACTAAACATTTAAAATTAAAAAAATAAAACTAAAAAATATTAATCAAATTAAAACCATTAATTGTTATTAAAACTAAGATTAAACCTTTTTATTTTCTGCCTACTATAATTTCGCGGCTGGGTACTAAGCGAAATACAACCACAACGTTGCTGAGATATTTGCAAAACTCTGGACCGCAGGTGTCTATGGTGGGGAACGAACGCGCTATTGTCCTTTCCGGGGAGTAACGCGTTCACCACCACACCATGTGGGTCCTTCGTTTCGCCTGTCTCTCAGCTATTTCTATCGATCTTTGCCACAGCAATCACCCGTCAGCGGGAATGATCTGGGGCGCCCAAATCGGCATAGAACCCAGTTAAGCTGCGGCTGTAGTTGAAATCACAATGTTATACCTTTTTATTTTCTGCCTACCATAATTTCTGCAAAGGACCCGCATGGTGTGGTGGTGAACGCGTTACTCCCCGGAAAGGACAACAGCGCGTTCGTTCCCCACCATAGACACCCGCGGTCCAGAGTTTTGCAAATATCTCAGCAACGTTGTGGTTGTATTAGGATTAAAATTAAAATTTAGAAATAATAAACTGGAATTAATTTTCAGGGTGTGGCTTCAGCTGGTACAAATGGCTTACGTTGGTGAAAGCTGGCGCTATTGATGACTATTCATTTCAGCCGCTATTTAGTCTATATTTTGAAATGCCAACTACTTGGTTTGTTGTTGGTAAGCCTAACAGAAATTAACACAAACAATATATATTGACTATTCGGTCGTTTTATTTGTAAGAAATATTAGTGGTTAACGAAAAATGAAAGGTGGTATTCATAAGCCATGGAGAGCTTTATGTACTTTGTTTGTCAGTGAAAGTGCCTTCAAGAATGGAATCTGGGTATTCCATAAATCGATACAGATCAAAACAATGCGAAAACTAAAAATTCATTTTTCCTACGCCACCTATTTTTCTTGTTCTCCTGCTGAACCTAATAGTTCATACGCACTTGGAAATCTATTAAGTGTTTTAGACTTTAACTAGTACTTAGTACTTGTCCACTACTGTGAAAAATTTGAATGGAAATTATCAAGTGCAATTTTCAGCTTTTATATTAAGCACTGCTTTATTTATACTTTTTCTGGTGCTTATTTTTGTACGTAAAAGGATCTCAATCGCTGTGGCGTTAATTGAAGAATCCAGCAGGTATGAGAGTTTAAAGAATCAATAACAAAAAATAAGTCACTGATAAATATATGAGTAAAGAAGTGAAGAGAAAGGGAACCAGCATAGAAGACTATGCAAACCTGAAAAAAGCATGAATTTTACTAAATTATGCACTAAAAGGATAAAGGATAAACTCTTGGCTTTGATCAACACTGAGGGACGCAGCATCCATTCGACTTCTTTAAGCATCGTTAAAAGTGATTGAATGCATATCTAACCTTTGCAATAACTCGTGGAGACCTACCGAGGTATCAGTTCAGTGCTGCTATCGTCTAAGGCAAGTCTGGTAACAATTTTCCGAACTCGGAGAAATCGAGGGATTGGTGTGCCTTGGGCACGAGAATGAATCCCGTATTTATTGCATGGGGTCTCCAACCGCTGCGCTGCACGCGTCCTCTAAATTCTACAGGTACTGTGTGAGTGTGACCAATCAGATGGTTATAAAGAACGGCAAAAAATTTTTCGAAGTCTGGATGAGAAAGAAATCAGAGACCGACTAAATGACGAAAAAAGTAGAAGCATTAACAACAACCACTCTGTATAAAAGAACACTGCCCAGTTCCTCATTCGAGCGATAATGAACTGGACTCTACTCGATACGATCGCGAATACCCACATCGGGAGAGTGAATAAATGTGGATAAACGAATCAGATCAATCGGACTCTGAAGAAGACGTTAACGTCGAAACGGTTGCTTGTCAACCTTGTTTTAGTTTATCAGTGAAAGAATACATATTGATTAGTCATACTGAGCTTAAAGCGAAGTCGATTTTAAAACATTGTTTTGATAAAAGAGTATTGCTGAGTGAGATTCCTCATTCAAGTGGTGATCCATTGGATAGAACTCTATGCGGTCACGGAGATCTACATCGGAAGAAGGAAAACTGTGAGCAGTCGACTCGGATCAATCCTGCTCTGAGGAAAGCGAAGGCGTCGAAGCATTAGCCGAGTAGAGTTGTTTATCAACCTCCTATTAACTTAGCAGTGAAGAAATAAAGGGATTAAGTTCTAAACTACATAGTTCTTGTTACTTGTATAACCTCTCTGCGCAAACGATTCCAGTAGCACCAGTAGAATGAGATGGAATCCACTAAGAGAGATTTTTCTTTAAATGTGACAGAGGACTATGAAGGCAATGACTTTAAATTTCAGAGCTATTGGTCATATGATGTCTACTCTTATTTTTCCGCTTTTTCCTTTCGCTCTACATCTTTTTGTGAGCATGTTTTGTTCCTTTTTCTATTTCAGTATTTCCATATTTCGCCATTGATCCTGTTTTTGGTTTTTCCGTTGTAGGTGATTATTCTATGGGGAACAATAGCGATCTGGTTGGCCTCATCTGGAGTTAAAGATTGTCGGACAAATAACAACCACAACATAACGTGTGATTGCTCTACAACTCCCATGGTGGTTCTTAATATTGTATTAACTAATGAACAGAATTTGTTTGAGGAATAAGTTCTAAGTTCTAGTCATGTTGCCTAGAATGAAGTGGTAAAACATAATTTTTCCCAATTCTATAGCTTTTGTAAGGAATGCCCATGATACCTTATCAATAATATAATCTGCAAATTACCACCATTTGTATAGAATATACCTCACTTTCCATTTTATATCACCTTTAACCACATCTACCGTGCGGATGCCAGCATTTCTTGCGTTCGATTTGTTTTCCTCGCATTCACCGTCCAGCAAGGCCCTCGAAAATTTAGCGTGTTGTTTCGGCTGCTACTTGAGGATTTCGTCCTCTTTATGAATGTCGTAGAATGCTGGTAGAGTCAATTCCCGTTGCATTCCGAGAGGTTATCGGACCAAGACGCTCCAACACGAACATTCAGAAGGGGTCGAAAAACACCTTCCTTCCAAATGGACTGCATCTCCAACGATTCTGCTGTGCATTCAACTCCACTTATAAAAATTATTGAATACATATTTGACTTATGCAACGATTTCCTAAGACTTGCCACTCTGCGAAGTCGGTGTTTTCTATACCCTATAATAAGTCTAGTACCCATTCGCTGAACACGAAGGAATGGGAGGCTTGGTTAAACTGGAGCGCCGGATCGAACCAAGGTCCATGCACACCATAGAGCACTTTTAAGCACTGGCACAGCACGAGCCTTCTTTAAGGCGTAAATAAAGTAAGCATCTACTAATTTTGTTGGATTGGTGATAAAACAGTTAACACGTCCGATTAAAGACACATATTCGAAAGGCTGACTTTCTATAAACCTCGGCATAGATAGTTGATATATTTATTTATGTGGTATTATAAACTGATCTTCTTAAGCTGACGCGAGGTTGGTATAGATCTTCGTTGTCGTTGCCGTTGTTTTTGATGTTATTGAACGATGGCTGACGTTTCGGCGACTTCGCCTTCCTCAGAGCCTGGACGTACTTTATGTTAGAATACTTTTTATTATTCGGTGGAAAAGAAGGTTAAAGTGTTAATGAAGATCAAACTTTCAAATAGACTCCATATTGAACAAAAAGGCCACCCACCGTGATGTTACGTGCGGGACTGGCCCACACGTAGTTCACGTGGAGTCGCGAGCAAGACACGCCCCGTGGTCAAAATATCATTTTGAAATAGGGCGCCAGGTCACGTGTGATAGTGAGGCATTCGTCCTTCCGGTTCATCTTTGGATTTTTGAAATTTATCCAAAACGCCTCAAGAGTTTTGCGCGTTGATGTTTTTGATTCCTGCGCTAGGATCCGCACATTCACTTCAAAATCATCGCCGTTGTGCTTTTGTGCCCTATGCGTACCTAGAGGGGTATTTAAACGGATTTTAGCTTTTCCATCTAGATGTTCTTTTGTGCGGACACAAAGTGGTCTACCCGTTTCCCCGATATATTCCTCGCCGCATGCATTACATGAGGTTAAGTATGTTATACCTAAACTGATGCAATCCCCGTCTCTCCCGTTAGGACAGATCATACAGTTTTCTGAGCTGCACAAACGATCATAGAGACGGTTTCGAACTAACTGGCGGCGTAGGGTATTGGGTGGGATGTCAATAATCGTTACATAATTTTCAAGACCAGAAACAACGACAACGACAACGAAGATCTGTACCAACTTCGCGTCAGCTTAAGAGGATCAGTTTGTAAGATCACATAAATAAATATAAAGACACATATATTTATGCAGCATTCGATACTCAAATATTTATATGTATTCGAGTCAGCAACTAAGTTTTTCTACACCTAGCTTTGCTACTAAATCCTTTACTACTTATTGCATTATCCAACCTTCTCTTTGAGGATCCAAAATGCACGTTTTTTGGTCTTGTCAAGGAAAAGAAGACAATTTTTTGGCTTCAACTCTATAATCTGTTTCTTTTCTTCTGGATGTCTTGCTTCGTATCATCACTAGGTTGGTTTAAGTGATTTCAAACCCTCGTACACTCAATGACCAGAATCAAATATATAACACTAGTATTTGCCATAGAGGGTTAGCGGCATAATATATTTACAATCTTAACCGTTTTATTTACTGCTTACTCTTTTTGATAGCAGGGTATATTGCGAAATATAACTTCAACGATGCTGAGATATTTGCAGAACTCCGGACCGCGGGTGTATGCGGTGGGGAACGAACACGCTATTGTCCTTTCCGAGGAGGAAGAAAGCTGAGAGAAAGGCGAAACGAAGGACCAGCATGGTGTGGTGGTGAACGCGTTACTCCCCGGAAAGGACAATAGCGCGTTCGTTCCCTATTGCATACACCTGCGGTCCGGAGTTTTCAAATATCTCAGCATCATTGAAATAATATATTTATTACAGGTCGTTCATGACTAGTAATTTCTTCACTTTTCGATTATGAGCAGAAATATCCCGGGTCCTAGTCAGCTTTACTAATTAAGATAAAATCCATTAAAATCTATAAATCATTGATAGTGAGAAGAAAGTTTACTTCTTCTACCACGAAGAAATTCTAGTATGATAATGCTCATAGGTCGTTTTATTTCAAACATTAAAGTGGTTGAATAAAAAGAATCTAATCCAGTTCGACATGATGGTACTGAAGTTAAGACAATTTTTTTAAACAAATCATGCATTTTTAAGCCTGTAGACAGAGTCTATTTTTTATGCTTAGTTTTTCAAGTATTTGAGGACTCTGTTTGTGAAATAATTGGGCGAGAAAGTTGTTTTTCCGCCTATTCTTAGTTTCAAGAAGGTTACCCAGCTGTCACTATAATTACCTATGGCCTTTGTGGACCGAAGGCTAATTTCCAGTACTATGACTAGATTTCTTCCTGAACGGAAGTGGTTACTGAAATCGCTTTATTTTTTTTTCCCTACTACGCTATCCAAGCACAAAATATATCCTTATGATTTACAGTGGATTTAACTGAAATTCAGTTAGTAAAGTATAACTTGTACACTGAGTACTTTTAAAATTTTTCACTAACATTTTAGGAAACATCTCACTAGCGGGTGCATTTGCCAGCTACTATTGGGCAAGAAATAAACCACAAGATGTGCCCTCATTTCCGGTGTTACGAGCTCTTGGAAGAGCAATAAGGTTGCTTTTGTTTACAACAACATCGTAGTGCTAAAGTTTCGTGCCTAATTATTCTACATTATACCGTATTATGATATGTTATATTACATTATGTTATTTCTCACTCACACTTCACATCATAATTCGTTTTTTCACTTTTGATCTTTATTTATTTGGACCTATTGCTTTTTGTCGTTTGTTTGCCTTGCTTTATTTATTTTTGTTTATGCTTACTTGCCCAAGTTTTTGAACACCGGCACGATTCAGTTGCCTAGTTTCCTCTTAGCGCCAATTGCGCGAGATTCAAACTTATTTCTATCGCCAACTCCCTTTTTTCTATGGTGAGGAGAGAGAAACGGAGAATTTTGGAAGATTTTGTGCTTTTTTTGGATTATTCACTTATATTTTAATAGTTTGATCATCTACTGCTTATTCAGGTATCATTTGGGTTCTTTGGCTTTCGGATCCTTGATAATCGCTGCCACCAAGTTCATTCGAGTACTTCTTGATTATTTGGATAAAAAACTTTCCACCACGAATAGTCAAATTTTCAAGGTCTTCTTATCGTGAGTTTAAGATTATTATTTACTAAATATAAAAGTGCCTTCTTTAAAAGTAAGCAAAGGGAGTGGGTAGTGATCTCCTTTTGTGCGCAGGCGTCCCCAGGCGCTGGATAGCAGATTTTTCGGACCAACCAAGCTCTTCGTCTCTCTTGTGACGAGAAATTGGTACCAGACTAATCTGGAACAAACTGAATTCCTCCAATCCACACACAAACCTCCTAATGCGGCCAGCTCAGGACTCTAGGGAAAATTGAGTCGACTAGCATTCAGCGATCTCCTTGAGAAAAGGAAGATTCTCAAGCGGCAACCGAAGCCACAGGGAGCAAAAGTTCGAAAACCTTCATGAGTGATGGGTCGGAGGAAAAAATCAATGCGAGAAATGTTGGAATCCACAGTGTGGTATATGTGTGGTGTATATGCTATATCGGGTCATGAACTAATAGTAGTGAAAGTATGCAAACATAGAAGTTTTGCCAAAACAAGGCTAATTGCGTCTGATAGCAACTAAAAGAAAATATATAATGTACTTGAAAAAAATAAATTGGACCAGTTTAGGGCACTGAAATGCTGCTTTTGGTGCATGGAAGTTTTCCTCAAATTTCTTACGAAAAACGCTTTTATCATGGTCAGTTGTGAATTCACTCCTGTTCCTATTCCACGGAAGAAAAAGAGAGCGTTGAAGTTGACGAATATGCTGTTTTTTATCCTCTTTTAGATGGCAATCTATGGAAAAAGCTTCTTCGTATCAGCAAAAGAGAGCTTTTTGCTACTTGCAAGAAACTGCGTTCGAGTTGCTGTGGTAAACCAAGTGGCCGGATTTCTTCTGTTTTTAGGAAAAGCCTTAATCACACTAGGAATGGGTGACTACACTAGTTTCTTTTTAATTCATGACGTAGACTAAATATTCATATATGCTAAAAAAGTCTGGAAGAGAGTAAAAATGTTCATTCCCTAGACGGTCGAAATATTATGTGTATTTTCAAATTTAACTTGTTAAAGCAGCCATTTTCTTTAAGGTGTGGTGGCGTTCTTCTACTTCTCCGGTCAATGGGTTGTTAACGGTATACCACGGGTTGATTTGTATTACTATTTCGTTCCTATTATACTTGTTTTGATAGGTTAGTTTTTATTATATACATCGACTTTTTACGTAAGTACTGCATCCTGCTTCGTACAACTCTTCATTCAAGTCAGTTTTCATGAGCGATGAATGTGATGAATAATAATTCGTATCCTCCCAGCGGTTTACCGCCTCTTCGTTGCTGGGAGGTGTTCCTGGGTGTCGGGCTGCGTTGTACAGCGAGGAGATCCGTCCACCGGCAGGGTCTCCTAAGCTGAGAACGAGTCTTGGCTTTTTCATCGAGAAGTTTAGGTAAGAGAAAACCAATACCAGGATCCACCACCATTCTGGCATGAAACTAGTCCCATAGTGGCAAATTTCCGTCTGATTCACAAAGGCGGCGGCTGCCCGTGGTGGTGAGGACCTGGGACAGACTTTGGCCAGGCTGGCTTCGGGACACCAGAGGAACCAGAGTGGCTAGACCAGCGAAATTCTGAAAAAAAAAACGGAAATTATTCTTGGGGCTCGCACAACCAGTGAAAACGGGTCATCCAAGTGATAATTTGTAATATGTTGAAAAGAAGTTCGGTAAATAATTACCTTGAAATAAAAATGCCTATTCCATATTTATAAAGGAGGAAAAGTTGAAGGTAGATGAGCACCATTCAGTTCAGATCGGTAATTTTATAGAATAACTTAACTTTATGGAGGGAAGAGGAACATAGCGATACAGCCCATTGAAAAAGGGTGTAGTGCAATGGGTAATGGTGCCCTGTAATACACACATGATTCTTTGGTTAAATCCAGCACTCCCGTGTAGCCAAATTCTCCATTTCTTTAGGGCCAGGAAATTGGTGGCAGACCAGTCTGGAACAATAGTGACACTGACTCCGTATATCGGGAAGACATCAAAATCATTGTATAGGCCATATGTATATGTATATATATATATTCAAGTGGCCATTGCGATGCTATGAATGAAGTGCATTGTATCGTGCTTTCCTCAGGGGATGATTAACGCTGTACTCTTTACACTCTATGCTTTTAGCTCCATGAAGGAAATCAACGCTTTGAATTAATCAACATCCTTTGCTTTTAACAAGTTTATATCCATCATATGTTTTCCAATATATACAACTTTTCGGCGTGATAACAACAAGAAAATTTTAGGGAGTTACTTTGTAACCGACTTATTTTTCGATGTCTACAAGATGGCCGTTGACACGACATTCATATGCTTTTGTAAGTCTTTCACTATAAAAGTGAATCGGCACAGGCAAAACATAACTCTGTAATTTAAGTGGAAGACTCTGAACAAAACGATGGCACTATCGAGATACCATTCTATATGTCAAAGGACCTGCAAAGAATTCTCAACAAGAAGAATGAAAAATGACAAATGAGCAGGTTTGATACCATCACATATTACGTCACATGTGATGTATCTGGCAACACATTGACATATCGCTCCTTTTTGATCCTCACGGTGATTCGTAAGTTCCGTTGTTCATATTATTTCTGTAACGAGCGAAAATGCTAAAATATTATTGAACATCGGATAAACTCATTCAAATAATTCTCTAAACGTCTCTCATAGCGTCTTAATTCCATAGAAGTTCATGTTCGTTTTTTCTCTACTTTCACATGGAGTTATTTTTAGCCCTCTCATTCACAAGGTTGTTCAGCTCCGGTTCTTTTAGTTCGTCATCTCCAGTCCTTCATCAAACGTGTACAATGTTAGTTCACATGTTTTTTCGAAAATAAAAAGTTTAAAGTGTTGTTTGACTTCGTGCAATAAAAGAATGTAATCGATATCTATACGCATTGATTTCAATTCGTGGATGATTGCCTATAATTTAAAGCTCGTGTGTCTCGCCTCATTTTGAACATCGTTAAATGCAATAGGAACCGCTACAGTACACTAGCTTGCAAGGTGGAAGTTTTCTTGTTGTGTCCAGAATGAATTCTGATATTTCTGATAAATTTGCAGCGTTATGGCGACATATAGCATGATCACGAAGAGGCTAGAATCAACTGTATAGGACAGTTATATGAAAATATTTAAAAACTGGACAAACATCATTGAAACACAGGATCAAAAATGATATATCAACGCATAGTGACTAGCCTGGAGCGATGGACTCAGAAGAAAACATTTATTTTAGCCACAGCAAATCCGTGTTCAAAAAATGACTCGCATTCTTATGCTTGCTAGTTGGCTAAGCTCTTCTCTTGTATACTTAAGTAGAAGAGTCAGAGTTTTTTTTAATTGTTATCAAGAAGACTTTAACATCACTATTTTCTTCACTGATCAAATATTCTAAGATGTAAATGACAAATAATTTCGGTAACACCTTGTTGATCATCCAGCAACGCCAATCTCCTTTACAACGTAGATGAATCTATTTGTTAAGCACTTTCTAGTACACAGGATTTCTAGACTAAAAAAGATAAGAAGCCAATCAAGGGCTCGGAGCTGAGCAATTGCGATGCTCAGAGCAGGTTAGCTTCTCGCGCAATTTTCGACAGGGAAAACGAAGGACCCGCATGGTGTGGTGGTGAACGCGTTACTCTCCGGAAAGGACAACGGCGCGTTCGTTTCCCACCGCAGACACCTGCGCTTCGGTGTTTTGTAAATATCTCAGCAACTCTCGTGAGTGGCGAAATAGTGATATTCAACATCGATTTAGTTACTTCGGATTGCTCAGTAAACCTGAAAAGGACTGCGATATACAGCGCAAAAAACAGATTGTCCTTATGCGGTAATCGTCAACCCAATCCATTAGAATCGACGATTGTTTCTTGTGCAGATTTCGGAGCACAGTAGCATCGTCATCAGAAGACTCCTGGAAAAGATCTTGCTTAAGAGGCAAAATTCCTTTCAAATAGAAGCTGTGCAGAGTTCGTGAATTCACAGGCCAATCCATTATAAACCAGGTGTTACATCGTTGATTCAGCAGATTCCGTTTTTATCAAAACAATTTTAACTTGTGTAGTCACAGTGCTAAATAACGCCCTCGCAACTATCAAATAGGCATTTGGCATTGAACTGAAGTACCAAATAACTATGCACTTGCTGTAAGATGGATATAGAAAGAGGATGTGGATTGACCTTTCTTCGGTGTTTTCTGGGTTGAATTATTTACTCCGTTTACTCGAAACTATATTTCTGCTTAAATAAGGTGGTAAGCATGCGTGACGAGCACTAGCCTACAACAGGAATGCAACAATGCTTCAACGTTCACCACTCGATTCACCTAATTGCCGACGGTTTCCACTTTCGATAGTCAACAGGCTCAAAGATCTAACAGTTCTAGCTTTACCTCTTCAACGGCATTATTGAAACTTAATGAATTTGTTTTCATCGGTCCTCCTCAATGAGAATATCGTACTTGATTAGTAGAACGCGATGCTCTGTTATGCACCCCCAGAGTGTCTTCACTAACATGAGCTTGGCCGTGAACACCGATTCTCTTGAGGCACTAATAGCTCTAATCGAACGTATACGATTGACAGGATGCGAACCATTGCTGAATTTGATGGTCGTATTCTCTTGCGCCTCAACATCAGGTTATTACGTCGAAGAGGTATTGGGAATCCACACTCGCTAGCACGCTTTTCACACGTAACTGCTGGATTTCGGGGTTTCTAAGTGCTACAGCCCGCATAGAATGTGTGGGCGGGCCACATATGCTAATATGTTCTCCATTTTATAACACCTTGTTTCCGTAACGTTTTGTTCTATTCGTGAGCTTACAAGAGGTTGTTATACAATACAAACGTTTCGGAATTTTACCTCCTTCAGAGAAACGATGATTTGAGTCGGTATCCACAGCTATTCGTCATCGTGATGTGAGTATTCGTTGTTCTATGAGTTGAATCTTCTCGAGTGGGTCAAGCGGCTCAAATTATATAACATGGCCCTTCGACGCGAGGACGGTTGACGGCAGACCGGTTGTTCACTGATAATAATTTGCTTTCTTCAGATAATTCGTCCTGTGGCAGTCGGTATAATATTTGGTGGCACACAGCGAAGAAATAACCATGTAATCTGACCTTGAATTAAACTCGACTTTAATAAACAATAACGTTTTCTTCTATTCACGAGCGTACATAAGGTTGTTAAAGCCTTGTGTTAGGTTGCTTGGAAATAAATGTTGAATCTTTCTTCCCTTTCATTACTCCCACACATATTTTGGCAATGTTTTTCTAGAACTTACAATGCTTCTATATGTCATTGAAAAGCTCATTTCTGCACTGTCGCACCATCCAAATTAACTGAAATAGAAATCAAGCCTTTATCAAACTTTAATGGATAGACTTCGGATGTCAAGGTTACAGTTTTAACAAATCTGCTTTGACGAATTTAAAATAACATGTGGAAAAACCTCGGTCTGAACAAATGCATGGTATGGGGCTGAAAAAATATTAATGAATTTATCTCAGCGAATTTGATGTTGAATGTGAGGATGGCCCTTCTGCCATTAACGAACGTGAATTGAAGCCCATTTTTTTGGAAATCACGCACAACTATCCATGAATATCTGAAGAAACTCTTTGTGAGTGTTGCAACCTTTTTGAGGCATCTTATAGCTATGTAGAGGTATAAGAAGGTCGACAAGTGAGTGTTGCTCTGATTGCATGAAAATCAGTGAAATCACCGTTTTGAGGTATTGCTGATGCCTCTTTTGCACAAATATAACGGTACGCTTCTCGAACGCATTCCGACATTCGATGAGAATGGATCCTCAACGACGGCCGGAGATGACGGACTCAGTGTTTGGACAGCGATGAAGCTCGGCAAAGCATTCCATAACCGAAGTTGCATAAGAAAGATCATGCTGACTGTTTGGGGTTACAGTCGACTTGCTCCACCAAATTTTTCTGAATTACGGTGCCACAACTACGAAAGAGAAACGCGCCTAGTAATTCGACGAAATGAATCAACAACTTCAACCTCTGCACACCGACAGCATTAGTCAGTGGCAAAAGACCAATACTTATCCACAATAATGAGTGGAAATGTCGCACTGAAATGCGAATAGACTTGAATGCATGGTCCGCGCGATAATCTACATAATTAAAATGGATCCACTACCGGAAAAATGTTTTGCGACATATGAAAGAGCAATCAAAGCTAAAAAGTTGTTCGTCATTCCCATATAGAAAGCCAGTCAAAAGGAAACCTCTAACTATACTCACAATTTTAACTTATTATTTAGCGCCTACTTTTATTAATAGCAGGGTATGTTGCGAGATATAACTCGATGCTGAGATATTTGTAAAATTCCGAACACAGGTATTTGCGATGGAGAATGAACGCACTACTGTCCTTCCCGCAGGCTAACGCGTTCACCACCACACCATGCGTGTCCTTCGTTGCGTCTGTCTCTCAACTAGTTTTATCGACCATTACATCAGGAATCACCAGTCAGCGAGATAGATCTGGAGAACCAAAATCGGCAATGAACCTAGTTAAGGTGAGGCTGAAGTCACGATTACAGTTTTTAACCGGATTCATTGCCAATCTGGGCTCCACAGATCTATCCCGCCGACAGGTGATTGTTGATGTCGCTGATCTATAGAACTCGCTGAGAGAAAGGAGAACCGAAGCGCCCACATGGTGTGGTGGTGAACGCGTTTATCCCCGGAAAGGGTAATAGAGCGTTCGCTACCCACCGCTGACACCTGCGGTGCGGAGTTTTGCTAATATCTCAGCATCGTTGTAGAAAAATTGTATTAAAATTAATTACGATCGAATAAACTAATTCAGAACTGGGTAATTTTTTTGTCGGTAAGCAAATAATCACCTGTGACGACGACAGAGGAAGGCGCTAGCATAGATGCCATGGATTTCCAAAGAGGGAAGCTTGCCAAATCAGCAACAGATAAGATAAATGGTTTGAAAACTATACACCGAAATTAGATAGTACTAGATTAGAATCCATACAACCACTCTAGCATATAAAGAAGAATTTTTGTGGCTTTTAGATAGTGATATTATTGGTTTTGTGTTTGTTGTCTTAAGAATATAAACAGAAATGCAACACTATTTATGCAGTTCTTGGTTTAATGATTCTTTATATCATTTAAAAAAGTGCTTGGTGAAGAAAACTTGCATTCACGAGGTTTTTAAACAGCATACATTTACTTCCATGGAGAAACACAATACAATACAACGCTAGCTGACGTTTCGGCAGTATCACCTTCTTCAGAGCCTGGAAGGGTATACTGATATACAATCTACTAGGCCAAACGCTTCAATGACACTTACAAAAAGACAAAAAACTCTTTGGTAATTACACGATCAATAACTTCTCGGAAAAACCTACCGCTTTTTCGCGACTTCCAATGAGGAGGTTTGGAACAGCTGATTATAGTCGCATGTGGTTGACTACTACACCATCCCACATCAAACACCTAGATGGCAAACGAAAACTAAGACGAAGCACCCCACTAGGCACGCATAGGATACAAAAGCATAGCGGAGACGATTTTGAAGTAAAAGTCAATATCCTTGCACAGGAGTCTAAAACACCAGCGCGAAAACTTCTTGAGGCTTTTTGGATAAATGCCAAAAACCCTACAATGAATAGCAGGGAGGAATGCCCGGAGGTCATACGAGACCTGATCCCGTATGTTCGCATCGATTTTTAATCAGCTGAACAGCTGAACGACGGCTGAACAAGAAAACGACACATTCATATTCCAATGCCGAGGTTAATAGAAAGTCGATCCTGGGAACTAAAACTTGCATTCTCCATTGATATAACCAAAGCTTTACACTCGGCTAAGGGTTTGCTTCTCGAATAGTGAATGAAAAGAACCACGTTCGAATAGGATTATTTAGTTCCAATGTGCAATCAGTATTCTACTGTAGTATCACTTATGCTGTGAATATAAAACAGCAACGAAATTGCAACTGAATGTCGCATATTTCTGTGCTTTTTCGACCATCCGTCATTCCCATTGCCATAGCCAGTACTAGGACGGACGTCATTCTTTCTTCAGTTCTCGTTCTTCGGCTGTCCGAATCAGCATCTAATTAACTACGTCAAAAATAGACGGTTATCCGAAGTGACTGACCTGACCACAGAGTGCAACAGTTTCGGGACTACTGTTTCCCATTGATCAGTCAGTCGACGATCCGCCCACTTCCTTCTTCTTAACGTCACCTTACACCTGCTGATCAGAAAAAATATTATCTCGAATAATCTACACCGAAATATACACTGAATTCTAGACTACAATTAATAATGATTATTTTTATATGTTCACTCTGCAGTCTCTACACCGATCAAATTACTCGTTCGATAGATAAAAGGCAAAATATTTGTTATTTAGTTCAGGTTTCTGTAAATGCTCACCGTGTCGCCCTATTAGAACGTCACTTCTTTGCTTCTTAACAACAAAACATTTCGTAATAGTTCGGAATGCCGACTCTCGATTGAACTTGTCATTTACTGACTTATGTTGTCCCACCAATTCGTTTTTGACAAGGTTGGTATCACGTGCTTTGATACATTAAGTCGTATAACCTTACCTCGTCAGTTAGTTCGTAGCCCCTATAATACTGTCTATGAGCAACAGAACATTGTGTGATTTACCTTGACGCGCCAAAGCGAGGTTGCACAAGCTCGTATACAATCCTGATCTCTTGTATGAGATGTAGTGATGCACTAGACAAGCTGGTAGACCACTTTGGATTCACATAAAAAAACATCTAGAGGAAAATTTAAACAGCCACGTGACTAAGTATTATACACCAGATAAAGATAGAGACCAAAAACGCAATAGTGCCGATTACGAAGTGGCAATCACGATTCTGGCTCAAGAATGAAGAACATCCTCTTGCAAAGCTCTTCAGGTGTCCCGAACAGACCGAAAATGCCCAAAAATGACTTGAAATGACAGATTCTTCACTATCAGTTTAGCCCCTTATCATAAAATTATAAATTCATTCCGTTTTGGAGTGAGGCTCACTTTCGACAGCGTATACACTGTACATAGGCGTTCTCAAACGCATAAAATCGGTGAGTGTTTGACTGCTTCTTAACATGTAAGTAATTGACTCGACTTATAGGTTAGCATTTTGTTAAGACTGTAGAATACTCATCGAGCAATAGGAACGGATCAGTATAAAACACGTCTAAGCTTTAAAGTGGGCGAAGTCTTCGAGGTCTTAGTCGCCAAATATGAAAAGCGTGTTAACTACGAACTGACTAATGTTGTATTTTCTCCGGCTCAGGTGCAAATGCTGAGGGGTTCGTGCTCATTATGCGAAATCTTTGATTTCGTAATAAGTGTTTTACTGAAAATAGAAATTTTCGACTATATCAGTAGTGTGATCGAGTGAGTAAAGGTCACTCCGTGGGTCTTCCCTCTCTCGTTCGGATCTCATCTTTACACAATCGGTGACTTTCAAAAAGTAGTTCTTTCTTTCTAAAAGTCGCCATAACATTCTCCTCTTACTACGACCGAAATATCGAGTGATCACAAGCAAATAGTCGAGTCCTTAACTGATTAAAGATATCACTGCTGTTGATAAGAATAGCAATAATGATGATGGTGATAAGTAATTGTACTTCTAGCGGTGATAATAATTCCTTCTATCATGCTTAAAGAAATAAATGCCACTAGGTGTTATCTTACCTAATACTTGCAGTATGTGTAAACATGCTGACTTTCTTCATACGGTATCTACTTCTCAACTTAATGTCTTAGCGATTAGGAAACGCTATTGACAGCACAATAACTAGATGCACTGCGCCTTACAAAACACACGCTGTTACTGGTTGGATCACACGATCTAGGCTTACCAAAACCGTCATCGTAGAAAATAAGTCCCATGCTTGTTTAAGGGATAAAAAAGTTGCTTTGGTATAACCGTTGGCTCAAGGAAACCAGATTATAGGCCAAATATGCACTCAATCACATCTCTGAAGCCGAATGAAAGAAAATTTATAGCACCTCCCTGAGGAACTAAGTAATGTCAAATGATTTAACCATTATTTATTTAGCAAAGACGATCTTATGTCGTCTTGTGACACATTTTTATCTAGGAGCACCATCCAGTCTTCTTTCGTGAACGATAACAGCCTATGCAAATTTGGTCATTGAACAGCTATACAACTATTTCAGTTATGTCTGCTTGGCTAGTGTACTTAAAAACGATGATGGAGATGGCACCAGCGATCAAACGAGCCGCGGTCATTAGCACCGATGGAGAAGTGTGGGCAAGTTCACAAGGCGACAATGGCTTTCGCGTACGTTAGCTTTGTGTGTTTGCGGGACAAGTGACCTAATCTTCAGCGCAAGTAATAAGTAATGTAGTTAGTGTTCTGGTGGTGGCTCACCACTGGGAAGGAAAGCCTACTAAATCGCAAGGATTAAATGTTCTAGGTCTACTTCATCGTTTTAGAAAGCGACCTATTTTTGCGCTCGTTCTGCTAAATTCATACGCATATGATGTAGCTATTGAGACCTGAAAATGACTAAACTCCTATTTCATTAATCGAGATTTAGTGGCAGCTCTCGCAGCACGTTTAAATGAGCATCTATAACTTAAAATACATTCGTATATAATGCTGAGATGTTTGCAAAACTCCGGACCGCAGGTGTATGCGGTGGGGAACGAACGCGCTATTGTCCTTACCGGAGAGTAGCGCACTTCACCACCACACCATCCAGGTCCTCCTTTTTGCCTGTCTCTCAGCTAGTTCTATTGATCTTTTAGCTAAGAGTCAAGCAAAACGAAGAACGCGGATGGTGTGGTGGTGAAGTGCGCTACTCCCCGGTAAGGGCAATAGCGCGTTCGTTCCCCACCGCATACACCTGCGGTCCGGAGTTTTGCAAATATCTCAGCATTATATACGAGTTATATTTCGCAACATACCCTGCCATTAAAATGAAAAAGGCAGTAAATAAAAGGGTTAAGATCAAATATATTGTTTGCAGTCGGCATAAACGTTTCTATTTTCAGACTTTTGACTCCTAGAATCAGTCAACTATTGTTTTCCATCTATTTCTACTAAGCTCCTTTAGATTCTGGAAAAAACCGACCATAGTTAGTTGTGCGGACACTAGCAAATTCAGCACTTGTTCCTTTGCGTCGTAGTCGTCGTCCACGGTGGTGGTTCGCGGTTTGGGCATGGTGGCGTGTCAGTCTCAAGCCGTGATCTGTAAAACAACTGCAGATACGAGTGCAACTGATTGATCTCAGTAACGAATCCATCCTAACACGTAAGTGGTCGTATTAGATGACTCGGGCATCCTTTTGGAATCCAATCTACAGTTCTTTTCATCCACCTGTCGTCTGTTTTTCTCACTATATGACGTCCCATCTGTTTCGCTATCGATCTGTGGGTCTCGGAGAAGGGATTGATTTGGAAGTTCAGAGCGCTGCGTTCCGGCTAGATACTGGTGTGCAATTTACGTTTCAGAAGACTTCGTTCAAGCTCTGGTGGGCAGAGTTGTTGACGTAGGTGAAGTGTCAGTCCAGTCCGTGCTGCCTAACATGGAGCTATGGGGACCGTTGAGTCGATTAGATGAGCGCGGAATTTCGGGTCCACTATCTTTGAGATCTCCTAATTCAGCCCATGCTGATATTTTTCTTCTGTCTAATTCCTCATTTATATTCTTGGCCGTGTTCAGTGAACGTCCAATGTGCACGTACGAGGTGATCTCTCTGATGAGAGAACCATCCATTTTGATTTGTTCACTTTCTCACCATGCGTTTTAATAAGTTTGGTCTTCATCCTACTTTTGTGCAGTCTAATCTTTTTCCTGACTTGTTTAATTCAATAAGCATCTTACTACTTTTCTGGTATTCCTGAAAAAGATGATGACGCCATCCATGAAACGAAGATTTGACAGAAATTTTCCGTCAATACGCATGCCTTTCTCGTCCCAATCGAGTGACTTCATTATTCACTGCAGTGCGGCAGCAACCAGCTTTGGTGATATGCTTTCGCCTTGTCGAACTCCTTTTCTCATGGGTATGATGAGGAGTCAATGGAAAATCTGTGATTTCGTGGTCCATTTCCAATAACAGTTAAATAGGGTCCTTATTTAAAATGTGTCCACTCAATTGTTGGCGAGTGCTGAGGAGATTTCATTCGATTCGACGATTTCAAGCTCTTTTTCACAAAAAGAGAAAGAGAGAAGCTCTCGGCGTTGATTAATCCATGAGAAATGCTCCATGCTTTCGATCTCACTAGCATAGTTTGAAGTGATAGTTTGAGGTGACCTCTACGCAAACTCGTGATGGCTTGTCGATGTATCGAGTAGGTGTTGACATCCTCTCAGACAGCTCTCGTAGCAATTTTCCGCCCTTGAATGAATGAAAGGGTTGGTGAGCCTAGGGCACGGGATTGCGCAAGAGCACAATCTTCGTGAGGGGTTTGTAGAGTACAGTCAACAAGTATGTCGGACGACAGTTGCTAAGATTCTCTCGGTTCACGCCGTCCTGTACTGGACTGGGGCTTTCTCTTTCTGAAGGTAGTATGTCGTATAGGTTTAGAGAAGTACAGTGATATCATCGACTCCTGAACTGTGCCTTTTTTCAATGCTTTTTAACTAAACACGAGCTTCCAACGAAGGAATTGCAGGTGGTCTATCACAGCGAGAATTTTAGAGTCCGAGGCAGTAATAGTGGAGAGAAATATGTTGGTGTAAATCTTCATCGTTATAAATTACATATCATGGTGGAAAATTTTGGTGATCCCGTCTTCCCAACGGGCAATTTTTCAAACCAGTTATTTTTGTGTTGCTTCCAACAGTTTCTTTTGCTTGCACCGATGTAGATCTTCCTGCAAACCTCTTTTGCAACTGGCAGTTACTGCTAGCTGTGTTAATCGTGTTACAGTAGGATCAAGCTTCAGTTTCCGTCTCCTCGAACAACTCCTTGGTGCTGAAAGAGATGCTAACCGATGTTTTTGCTTGAGGAATTGAGGCAAATTCGGCACAATTTTATGTCCTTCGACAAGCACCTTGTAGTAGTCTTTCTTAATCAGCCATTCACGTTTGGATAGGATTTCGCTCAGAGTGTCCTCGTCATATGCAGCTAGAGTTTTCTTCTTAGTCGATGACATGAATTCTTTTCCAGCTTATGGATGGGTCGAATCTTCGCGTAAAAAAGGTGGTGATCGGACCTAGTACAGAATGATACGTCAAGTAGGTACCATCTTCTCTTAGCAAGGATTTGGTCAACCTCTGAATGAGTCGTGATGTTGTTGTTGTTCAAGATGTTAAGAGACTCCCTTGATCAGCGGCGTATTTCTTCTTCAGAATAGTCGATCTTCCAATGAAGAGAAGTGCTGCACAGAAAAGTACTGCAAGACGGTTTCCATTATCATTTCTTTCCTCTTATCCAAATTTTGCGGATTTGTGGGGAGAAGGGTCTCATACGAGTCGACGAGAAGGGCAATAGACGGGGGACGACAAAGCCTGTGCCACCGACATGAAAGGAACTTTTCTTCGTGGATGAGAAGTGTCTTGTCCTCTAGTTGCTGTATGTCGGTCTTTGCTTTTTGTTTCATGTAGGGCGATCACACAGAGTTTTATGTGACCTGAGGGTTGAAGAAGGGCGTAGAGATTGGTGTCTGAAAGAGCTGTTCTGTTCTATTATACGGGGAGAGTAAAAAATATTCTCCATGGCGTGTCGTCTTGAGATTTTGTAATCTATCACCAGTCCTGTTACTGCCTGGCGTCAAAGACGGAGGCATAAACTGTATTGGGTACTGCGGATTGGCTATTTTTGGTTGGGCAATTTGGTTTTTCCTGACTGAGTTTTGCCCTAACTTTGGAATGGCGTTTTCAGGTTTTCACCGTAATGTTGATCCGAAGGAGGTATCCTCTCGGCAACGATTACTTGGCTCGGTTGCCTCATTAGTTAACTTGGTCAAGATATTAAAGTCCAAATCAAAAATATAGGAGTGATAAATTTGGTGACCGCTTAAGGACAACTTAGAAGCCAAAATACTCCACTCACTGTGCTCTAATGTACTCTGTGTGTAGTAAAGCGATCCCCGTACTTGAAGAGTAGAATGCCATTTCGGACAAACTTTAGTTTCGAAGATGAGATTGAGTCTCATACTATAATTCATTGGGTTTCTGAGTTCCAGACACTGACTCACTGAGCTTCTGAATTACGATCCGTGAAATATATGAGCAAATATTATCACTGAGATGTGAGCAGTATGATTGACATGTTTTGGTCAAATTTGCTCAAAATTTCTCTCCTTTCTCATCGAACCGTTGTGGCAAACACGCGAAGGTGCCGCAAATGTGAGAGGAAGAAAAATCTGTGAATACCATGTATCAGAGAGGAGACATTGTATTCCATGACTTAGGAAAGGATTTCACTTATTCGTACTATGGCAATATTTGACTACACCGTTTCCTGTCCTCGTTAAAAAGCCATGCAGGCCATTATTGGTTGTGGCTCACAACCCGCAGAATTCAGTCGAGCTATTTTCTTCGAAATTTATAGTCCACTGCCGAATGGCGACACACTTCTTCTTTATCCTTCGGGGTGGAACTGCTACGAGTTAGAGGTACAGAAACACGCCAATTTCCAACGCGCTCCTTATCGAAGTCATAATCAAGAAGCCTAATAATATAGAACAATAGGAAGCGAAAAATTTGCCGTGCACTTCTAATTTGAAGTTATATGACTGATTGTTGCGTCTAACAGAATTTGATGCATAGAGCGGTACATGGCTACCTTACTATAGCACATGATCTTATCTGATTCTTCTATAATTTTAGCTGCCATATCTCGTGTATTCCACTGTCTCACATCCTGTCACGATGCAACCTACCACATTCCCACATACTACCTTGTTGTAGTCGCGCATTTTCGACAGTTTAAATCTGGGGGAACATGTCTAATCTCACCGTAAAATGATTTACGATTCTGGAGTTACCGGCCACTGCACAGCGCACTAACGTTCATTCCACTAGCTCCCTAGTTTCATTCTATTTATTGCCATTTGCTTAAACTTGATAAGGCTTAAATACCTATAGTAACCTTGCAAGTTTTATTTAAAGACGAATTTTAGGTAAATAACGACGAACTGATCAAATTCGCTTCTCTATTTAATGATATTGAAAACGTTTCCTCACATGGTGCCGACCTCGAAGCGGTAAGCTGTAATTCAGTTAGCAAACTCCTAGTAGATATGTCAAACTTCATCAGAGACGGTTGAAAAACTGAAACATTTAAAGAACAACCACTATGAGGCTGAGATTTTTGCAAATCTTAGAGTCCAGGCCAGATTCGAACCCGCGTTTACCTTTTATGGGGTTACACGTGTTACCCATGCGAAGAACCACTTACTAAACCCTTTGATCTCAAGCGGGAAAGGATGATAGCAGAGTAGTTAGTGATATAGTCTATCCAGAAGCAAAGTCGGCGAATCGACGATTTCCTCCCACGTGGAAGCGCTTAAGCTCAGCTATCACTAATATCGCAAGGAGAATCGAGTCGACCAGCATTCTACGACATTCATAAAGAGGATGAAACCCTCAAGCAGAAGCCGAAGCAACACGCGAAATATTCAAAGACTTTTGTGAACGGTGAAGGAGAGGGCATTGAATCAGATGCAAGTGGTGGGATTCGCAAAGCAGGTGTGATGACGGGTCATGTAAAAAATTCTGTATCTCTACCCACAAGACTCTGTCGTTTATAAGCTTTCAAACAATTTAAGGAATTTACTAGTAGTAATGTTTTACAATTTGTCCACTATTTATTTACCTTTCCTCCTCTAGTGCTTTTTCAGGTTCACTATGTTGTGCCAAAGGTTGAGAATAATCTCATGTTCGGAAAGAGACCCAATGGTGGATTTTTCGCCTCAAAAGCGCAGCTCGGTAATTAGATCAATTTTTGATATACTATATTGAATTAAAATTGTCACAGACAATATAGTTACAGATCATCTGATATTCTATCATATATTAGATTTCAAGGGTATAAATACTCGATACAATTCTTCAGATGCACTACTGAAACAAAGGCAGGAGAAATTTCTTTAAAAGATCCGGTTGATTAAGAGCTCTTGTTCCCGTTGCATTAGCAACGATGATGATTTCCTTGACCTAGCATAGCTTTTGAAACATTCCAATCCTTCATTTGCGAGCTGCCATGCGAAAATATTTTCTACGGTCAAAGTTTTCTCGGTCGGCTTGTAAACTGACAAGCACTTCCGATTTTCAAGATCTGAAATGCCACATTCCTAAATTGCTAAATCTTGGAGAGACCAATACCACTACTCGAAGCGTAGACTTACCAAAACAACGTACTTCAACATACCAAGCAAAAACAAGCCCTGAAATCCAGAAAATATTTATGTAACTATTACCTTTTAGTCGATAAATCTCAATATAACTTCTTCAGTTATTTTAATCGCCGTGTTTGATGGCGAGAACCAAGTTGTGGATGACGTCCGTAAAGTTGTAGAAAGAATGGCTCAGAACCTCATCGACGTTGGATTCTAAGTGATCTACAACATTTTATGCTGTATTTGTCAATAACTCGTTGTTTGCCTCAGTCCCGCTTCGAATGGACACTTCTGTCGATTTTTTTTTGTTTCCACCTGTTCAGCTAGGGTTTCTTGATATAACATCTGTTGAAGCACTGACCATGAGATGTTGCCTCTGTTTTTGTGTTGTAGATTTTTACGCAATACCATGTGTTTTTAACAGTCCAATTTCTTTTTGTAATGTAGCAATCCTCTGTTTTTTATTCGTTTTCTAAGTGGACAATATAATTCATGTTTGTTAAGGCAACATTTCTTTTCGTCATTGTTTTTCGAACTTGAAATCCGTCAGCTGTTCTCTATTCTTTAGCGTTTTCTGTTGGTAAATAATGAGTCATCCAAATAAACGGCTAAAAAATGCTTGAAATCTGACAACACAATTTTCAGCTATTTATTTTTCAGATACTACAGAAGCCCTTCGAATATTTTATGCACAAGTACCTCACGAATACTGTTTCATACAGAAGGTATGCAACAGGAGTTAAGCAATCTTGCTTTTTTGTGGTTGCAGACAAAAAGAGCACAAAGTGCTCGGCGTTGATGAATACCTATATGATCTCCTGTGCATTCGACTTTATCAAGCATCGTTAGAGGTGACGGAATGCGTATCTGCCCATAAAATGAATTATGGTGGCCAACCGATGTATAAAATCGGCGTGGTTATCTTCCATTGCAAGCCTTATACCGATCGACAACATATGGCTCAACGGCTTAGCTTCAGAATTCAGGAAGCGTTAAGGGGGGGGGGGGGGGGGGGGGGGGGGGGGGTCTGATGAACACTCAAGAGCATCGGAACTGTAGTGAAGAATGCAAGGAAGACGTGGCTCCACGTCCACTTTTTTGACCTTGCAGTTGTTTCGTCAGTAGGCAAATAGGTTTAAAGTGCAGGAATTTATCTCAGTATCGCGATGAAAATTCTAGAAGTAACCAGTTCCACGGAAATGGATTAAATTAAGCGGTGAATTATCAACGAGCGAATATTAGCGACGTTACTCTTCTTCAAACGAGCGATCCCTATATCACCATCTATTTATTCTTGCACTTTCTGGCAAAATGCTTTTTAGCGACCATCTCATGCACCTGCCTCGCAGCTGGCTGGAAAGGGGTTCCGCAACGTAAGAGATTTTTCGTCTGACACTTTGGGCATTGAATGAGTAGCCGACCCATGTATGTATTATTAACTTTCTCTTCAAGATAATACATAGATAACTGATGAACTTTTATATCAACGAAGCTCGTTGTCTGTCGTCTGACCTGCTTCTCCGTGTGTTTTATGTCATGCCTTAAAACTGCTCTATCAGACTGTACTAAACGTGAAACTTTTTAAATCTCGCTTTGAACATTACTTACACTTTCTTCTGCAAAAACTCCGCCCATTACAGAAGGAATATAAGGAGCGTTATTAATCAACCAGGCTTGTTGACTCTTACGGTGCGGTGCGTTTACAGTCACCGTCTTCATTTGGGTGCTTATGTTCCTTACGTTCCTGGATATCACCATATCTTTAATTCTGGATTATTACTATTATTTCTATGAACAGCTATAAACCAGTATCTCAATAGTGCCCAGTAGTAACTCAGTAGGGCGCGTGTAGCTCAGAGGTGGGCGGCGCCCTGCAGCACACATAGGATCGATCCCCGCGAACCAGGCTCACCAAGCCCTCCATCTGGGGTCAGAAAATTGGAAACAGGACTGTGTGGGGAATAGCATCACTGGCTTGCTATATCGGTAGGCCTCCACTAGTCATTGTAAAGGCCAGATATGCGTTCAATCACCTCCAAACGATGCTCAATGAAGCCGAATGCATGGCCCATCCCTTAAGGATTGGTCAACGCTGAGAGCTTTATCCTTTACCCTTTTATTAATCCATTACCTCAAGAATCAAAAGATTTCATTTGCGGAAGCATCAAAAAGTCTCTTAGGAAATTCGTTCAAAGTCGAGCATTCAACTTCGACGAAGTAATTAGTCAGTATCGATAACTGACTTGAAGACCTATATTTTACTGACCGACGATTATACCCAACATTTAACCTCGCCAGAGCTGGACAACATCATGTCTCATTGATAACTGATAGCGATCTTACCAAAAATACTAAAAAGTACGTCAGTGCAAGAGGTTATAACCAACCTTGCGCAAACTCATTAATTAAAAAGAAGGGTGAAAGTCACCAGGTTGATTAATCCCTAAGGGAAGCCCTATGTATTCGACTTCATCAAGTCCCATTTAGAGGATACTGAATGCGAACAGATCTGCTACGCCGATCTCAGAGGAATGAAAGGGACGCTAAGCTACACGGGATCAAGCTCATATGTGTTGCAGGGCACCTCTAACCACTTAACTCATTACAAGCTACAAGCTCATTATGAGGGCCAATTGCTTTCTTATAAAATAGTTTACTGATACTTCTGATATCGCCAATCAAGCTAACACATGAAGGATCACGACCTAAACTCGGTCACTGATAATGTTAGAAATACCATCTACGTGAATATTACTGCCTTTTAAGAACACTAAGGCGCATGCTGATGCTACATCGTTTGTCCATTTCATGAGAATAGATTGGTATGCTTACTGAAAATAATGTTAAAAACAAGTAAAGAATTACTTATTGGAATGTGCAAACGTTTTTCACAACCGAAAACATCTAAATAATTATTTACCCTAGGACTAAATGAAAAGGACAACTTTTTGTGGTCGCATCAAAATTTGTTTCGAAAGCGGTCCACTAATCAAAAACGACGGTTCGAGAAATCGATGTGAAGTCCATACCGTATCGAAATGATTTCAAATATTGACTTTAAATCTCAGGAGAGAAGGTTCTAAAAAATGGCGCAAAATGAAATTCAGTCCTCTTCTTTGCCAAGAAGAAAAAGAAAGATTCTCATTTAACTCATTTTAACCCTAAAGTTAGTCCAAAATCCCAAATCAAAAAATCATGAAAAAAAAAATCCTCCCAACGGTTTACCGCCTGATGGTGGCTGGGAGGTGTTCCTGGGTATCTGGCCGCGATGTACAGCTGGGTGATTCGTCCTCCCGTCAAGATCTCCCAAGCTGAGAAGGAGTCCGGCGTTCCTATCAGGAAGCCTAACTAAGGGTAAACCAATACCAGAATCCACCACCGTCCTGGTATCAAACTCCTTTGATCCACAGGGGCTGCAACTGCTTGTGGTGGTGAAGACCTGGGGCAGACTTTGGCCAATCTGACCTCGGAATTACAAGGAACCACAATGGCTTAACTAGCAAATCTCCAAAAAGTGGTGATTATGCTGAGACCCGCATAACCAGTGAGGACGGGCCGTTCAAGTATCAAGTAAGTATCAAATAGTCTAAAATATCTGAAAAAGAGTAACCAATCTGGTCAATTATGAAAGTAACAGAGGCCTGAAAGGTAGCTCTTTTGGTCATTGGCGCAAAATCCAATATGACTTCAATGCTATTACCCAAAAATCACTTCAAATATTCACATGTTTAACACTAAAAAAAAATTTAAGCGAGGATAGACTTTGCAAAACAGAGCATTACAGCAACTAACACCACATATAAACAGTACAAACAGAAAAAAAACTACCTATATTCTCATGCGCATTGAGGTGGAAGCATAGTTTAAAAGGGTTTAGGTCAAGCACTTGGGCAATTAGCTCAGCTCACAATAGTTCCATTATGGAAATATTACAGCAAAAACCAATTCTTATTTTCATAAAAAAATACTGTTTTGACAACGTAAACCAAATTTTTATAAAAACATTACATTGATAGGAACGCCTAGTTCACATATAATCTGATTTTATAATAATGACAAAGAAGTCAACCTCAGCAATCTAGGAAATTGGCTGCCATCAACAATTCAAGTGCCACCTCGGGGGTAATAATGAATTCAGGAATCTCCGTAGCCGAACTCGTGTAGCGGACTTTGTACGCAAAGTACTGACACACTTTTTGAAGCACATGTGATCTGAAAATTTGAACTGATAAAATAGCTATACATTAGATTCTTGGTTTTAGAAAAAACTCTAAACATAGATGATGAACAAGTAGAAAGGGATAGGAGAGAAAGTTGTAAAGGTGTGAAACCTCATAGAAGAATAATAGAGAAAAGTAAACTTCGAAAGTTACAAATTTCATTGTTGAACTAACGTTAAACGAAAAACTCACGGAATCTCTCTGAAGTTTACTTCATTACTCTCATTCTCAGAATATTGCCCAGGTCCACTCAACATTGCTTTGATTGTACCAGATGTCAGAGCCAACTCCTAAAGGAATAATTTAATCATTGACAAAAGCAAATGTCAATAGTTGACTTTGAGAAGGATAAGAGATTTCGCACGCTAACAAAAACATGTACTGCACAGAGCACAAACGCAACAGAAATGTGGTTTTTTGCTCAAACAGAGCTCATGGCAAATTTTCAATGAGGAAAAAAGCAAAATATTACAATTTACTTGCGCCATTCCAAACCATAGCAAACGGAGTGGTCATCATTCAGATCAGCTTCATGTTGAGAACCTTCAACTAACGATAGACGAAGCGGAGTGGTGGTATGATGCCAGTGAAGTGGGCGAAATGAATGTGCATTGCTGCAGATTTATCATACCAGTGTAGAACTGTTTTTTGGTAGACGTGCATGGATTCTTCGCCTTTATTGGGCGGTTGTAGCCATTAAGAGCACGAAAAGCAATGTTAATCTTAATAAATAGAGCACCAATGGGAAGTTTTAATGATGACCTAATTAAAACAACTTACATAAACCTATACGACTTCTACAGAGAAGAGAACACCTACATGATCATAATTAGCGATTTCAACTGATGAATTAGCTTCTTCAAGTTTAAAGTACTCAGCATTTAATCGATAACAGGAGTGAAACGAATAATGTGAGAAACTGCAGGGATCCATCATGAATATCAACATAAAAAAAACTATAAAAAGAATACAGTAAAGACATAAGGTCGGTCATACTGACCGAAGGTAGAGACACGTGAAAGAGAATCAGTGGCTAAAGGAATTCTCTAATGGCAATGCGAAAACTACTGTTCTTCGGCATTCAGATACAACGGAATAACCAATGAATCAGCTAAACCAGTGCTAATCACACATGCCTTCTGCAATGGCAATATCAACTATGGCACCCATTTCTCCTGTAAGCATTCCAAAAAGAATGAACATGTATCCCAGCGCCGTTCTCAACTCAATTCTAACACATTTCAGATCAAAAATTCCAAACCACCCGGTCTCGAAGCAACAAGTGAGTGACGTCTACCTGGCAAGAAACGTGCTGGTATTATTCCTCTTCAGGAAAGTGAAGAGCGAATCGTAGTGCCGTCGATGACCGATGATCGAGGAACGGTGTTTTAAATTTTGGAAAACGAGAGGACCGAACACTTGAGGTTACTTAGCGACAGCCAGTGAACACTGGACGTCAGGTAATAGAGTTCTACAAGATCTCACGAGTACAACAGGAACACCATAGAATCATTGACAAGGTTTTAACAAGGAAACAATAACAGGATATAGTGTTCTTCGTACCCCTCAAGTGAACAAAATAGGAGTAATTTGGGCTATTAGAGTAACAAATTGCTCGACGACAGAGTATGGCATGATATATATACATATATATGTGTATATGCATATACGTTTACATACATACTTGGATGGCCCGTTTTCAGTGGTCGCGCGGGCTCCAGCATAACCTGTGTTTTCGGAGTTTTTATAGTTAGCCGTGGTGTTTTCCTGGAGTTCCGAAGTCATCCTGGCCTAAGTCTGCCCCAGGTCGTCACCACCACAGGCAGTCGTCGCACTTGTGGATTAGAGGGAGATTTGCCACCATGCGATTAAGTTGACACCAGGCTGGTGATGGATCCTGGTATTGGTTTACCTTTAGCTAGACTTCTTAAAGGAAACGCCGGATTTCTTCTCAGCTTGAGAGACCCAGCTGAGAGATGAATCCCAGAGCTGTACAACGCAGCCCCACACCCAGGAACACCTCCTAGCCAAGATAAGGGCGGTAAACCGCTGAGAGGTATATATAATACATATGCATTCGCAATATATATATTATATATTATATATATATATATTACGCTTAAAAAATGAAATTGTTCACTGCCATTTTTGTACTTAGAAACCATTCAACAATAGTGATAAAGTGACAACTACTAGGTTCTTACTCTTTATGGACTAATTTGCTAGTAATTCATAATACCGCTCAATTTTCGTTCATGTTTAACAACTTTCAGATAGTTTTTCATATCACTGGTATACTTCAAGTTATCTGCTATAACAAATCAGATCATTTTTCGCGGTGATTCATTTTAATAGTTTCTTCTTACGTCATAACGAAACTAAATCCAGTCGGAAGGCTAACTGTTTCAGATAGAGATATTGCGTCGTAAAACAACAGGCAATGATATTAATGAATGTGCACAACTGTAGATGGATGCTCGATAAAAAAAAGGTTGAAAAAAAAGCTGCGCAGAAAAGATGGCAGCGAATACCGAGGTGTGCAAATAAAGGCAACAAAACTAGTTCGCTATGGGCAATCGACAAGGTTCTTCAAGATCGAGCAACCAACGCATGCCTTAAAACGACTATTTTTCAACCAAACGTTCCACGAATTGAAATTAGTCTATGTTGGCAGATCAGTCATGCACGTCATGAGATACTTATATATACTTACCTCATTAGCAACAGCCTTCGCGCTACCCTAAAAGGACAGTGCTCTCGGCGTTGATCAATCTCTGAGGGTACGCCATGCCTTCAATTTCACTACGCATCGTTGGAGGTGATTGAACGCATATTTGGCCGTTACAATGACGGCCTACCGATGCATGGAACCAGTACTGCTATCTTCCCAGACAAGTCTTCTATCAACTTGTCGACCCCGGAGGGATGGAAGTCTTGGTGACCCTTAGTCGTGGGGTAGATACCACGTGTATTGCAGGGCGCCTTGGACCACTGCGCTACACCCGGTTCCACTCTACCCTTCAGGTGCAAAATGCAATTAATCAGTGCCGGACTAATACGGGAAGCAGAAACGTATCAAGTCATCTACGACAGTCTCGCTGTTTTTGCAGAAATTTTTTTGGCTTGACCACCAAACACGTCCGAAAAAGTTCTCTAATATTATTGATTATTAAGAAAGTACAAAACAGCCTTTCTGGGCCGACGGGAGAAACCATGTTGAGTTAGCTTCTGAGCATGTACTAAAAGTACATCGTACATTTCCATGCAGAAAAATACATGACGGGAAAGAAAACGAACCAGTATCAATCCACATAATTCAATCAACTCATCCTCTACTTACGAGTGGAAATTCACACATGTTTGGCTCTTATCCAACTGCTGACGGAAAATAGCTGGGAAGCTAGCAGATCGAAAACGATTTTCAACACTTCTTACTGCGTCTCAAACATCGATTTATAATGGAAGTTCATTTCCGTAACAGAGTTATCTAAGCTGAAGAGTTTCGCAATTGCATTTGCAAGTGATGTTGAAATAAATCAAAGCCATAAGTCAATGACGTCCTAGACTTCATCCGACCGAAAACGGTTGGCCACTGATGGTGGTGATGACGTGAGAATGCCCAACCATGAGTTTTCAAGACTCTGGAGCAGAAGTCAGCGGCGAATCATTCGGATGTTAGACGCATTCGCACAATTTTTAGTGAGGGTAGTAGGTCCTAGTCTAAATCGAGCATTTCGCCGCTATAATTGGTATAATTCTGGTATAGCTTTGAAAATAAATCAGTTATATCAGGAAAGAATTTCTAGAATAAAATACCTTTTTTATGTAGAACTGATGTCCATCACTGCTAACCAATTTCACATAAGGCGCATCAGGTCCTTCACACCCTCCGTAGACTAAAATTCAAGAAAATACAGAATCACGGAGAAGGTACGTCAAAGAAGAACATGAACGCACCTTTAGTGTTCATCTTCGAGCTAGAAGCACTCATCTAAAGCAGAAAAAGTTACGTAATACTAAAAAGTGTACATTTTTACTAAAAGAAAAAGCCCTAAAAGCTCTCAGCGTTGAACAATCTCTCACTGATGCGTCATACATTCGACTTCATCAATCGCCGTTAGGAGAACTGAATGCATATCTAGCCTTTACAATGACTCGAGGTGGCTTTCCGATGTATCGAGTCAGTGCTGCTACCCTTCCAGAACAAGTCTGCTACCAATTTGCCGACCCCAGAGTGACAGAGGGGTTGGTGGGTTTGGGGCGCAGAGCGATCCCATGTGTATTACTGGGCGCCTCTGACCTCTACGCCACATGCGGCCTGATTTTTACTACGTGTACTTAATATATATCTTTAAATTCTACAGCGCCAACGAATTTGCTCGATGTAGCTATTTACAGCAGCACTGCCAGCAATCAAATCTCTCTCTTGAGGAGCAATATGTTCTAATGATACAAAAAATCTAAAGTGCAGCAGTCACATATGTGATTACAACGAAGATAGCTCTAGGACCGATCGATCGATATGAAAATGAAGATGTCTGTTGGAAAAGCAGCGAGTACAAAATTGATGGATAGTCCTCGACTTTTTTAAGGGCCCAAAAAAGGAGCAAAATCAAATTGTAAAAGCAAAGAAGCCTAGATAATAGAACGAACGACGTATAGACTTAATAAATCGATAAGACATAAAGCAAAGCTTTTTATTTAACAAGTACTCATAATAATAGCGAAGGACAATCGTCATTAATACATAGATCAATAAGCAAAGCTAAGCGAGAAAAGGGAAGACATTTGAACTCACAATTGGACAAAAGTTCTGAGTTGACGACTTTACTCGTTTTCAGTCTTTTACAAAGACACAAACCGGCGGAAATACTGAAGGAAGAGTAGATTCATTCGAAAAACATTGAGATTAAGCAAAAATAATAAATTTCAAGTGAATTGCATTCTCAAAATTGCAAGAAAGGAAGTGGAAGCAAGCAAAAAGGCAAAATCGAATTCGACAAGGCTAATCGCAGAAAGTGTAAAGTAGGCACCTGAGATCAGTCCCTTAAGCAATTAGCACTAAGCACTAAATGTGACCCTAATTCCTGTAAAGAGGCGCAAGAAGAACTGTGATATCCTCTCTTATCGAAGTTATAAGTGAGCAAGCTGCAATTCGTTCAAAGAATAACTCTACTTAAGACACTTATCGTCAGAAGGAATCACTTATCAAATAACAACTTTAGCAAGGGACGTTAACATATCGGGGTGAAGTGGCACAACATTGACTGTATAAGAAGTAAAATGATGAGAACAAAGGCAACTATTAGTATGCAGGTTAAGATCTTGGCCTGAAATAATATTCCCAATGAAAATAGCACTAGTAGCATAAATTCTAAATGGCTTTCAATTTGTCACAAAATGTATAACCACTATGAACCTTCGAACAGTGCGGAGAAAACTGCACTTAAGAATTACCTTACGAGCTTTCCTTTGTAATTCATGAGCACTTTTCACATTTTGTTTCGCTTTATCAGCTAAATCCACTGCATCTTCAATGTTCGCATCAATTCTGTCCATCATTTCACCCTACAATTAAACAATTTCTTGACATTCTAAGACTATAAAATAGAAGTTTCAACTCTAAGAAGGATAAAAACATTACATATTTACAAAAAAACGAAAAAGAAAATTCTTTCTCATGGTCCTGTTGTTGTCAACGGATGAAAGAACGACAAATACTTGGATAGTTAGATGGACCGTCCTCACTGGTCGTGCAAACCTCAGCAAAATTTCCATTTTTTCGGAGTTTTGCTGGTCTAGTCACAGTGGTTCCCTAGAGAACCGACGTCAGCCTAGCCAAAGTCTGCCCCAGGTCGTCACCACCACAGGCAGTCCCAGCCCTTGTAGCTCAGAGGAAGATTGGCCACCATACATTGATACCACGACAATGGTGGATCCTGGTATTAGTTTGCTCTTAGCTGGGCTACCTGATGGAGACACTAGACTCCTTCCCAGCTTGGGAGTATCCGCTGTGGGGATGAATCCCCGCCGCATATCGCCACCCGACACCCAGGAACACCCCCCAGCCACGATAAGGCGGTAACTGTTCGGAGAGAACGATAGATAAAAGACTGAAAACAAAATTTCCTTTCCTAAGCCATCATAGCCTCTTTAACAGAATGCAAAACATACATAAAACGAATATATAAACTAGCCTGACTGAGCACCAGATTATTAAGATCTAAGAACATCTCTCCCAGTTCGCGGATGACTTTCTCAATTTCAAACAACTCGTCACGTCGCAATTTGACGTCTTCGAACAGAGCCTTCCTGTCGTTATACGCAAGAAGAATCTAATCGACTGTAGTCAATAATATGAAATCTTTACTAGTATACAGTAGAACTCACTCCCTTGGTCCTTTCGAATATGTCGCCATTGTCAATGGCATCACTGATTTCTTCATCCGTCAACGAGATATCTTCTTAATATTAAATCTCTTACGAACTACAAAAAATTGTTTATTTGTAACATAAACTAGAAAAGCCTTACTGTTAATACAAGTTATATAAGCAAGAATAAAGAATGCGAAAAAAAAAAACAAGGAAAAGGTGAACACCAGGAGGAGATAAACACAAAAAAGACTTCCGAGTTGAACTGACTATGATTGTAAGAGCACGTGGGCAGTTCTTACCTAAGTTACCCGAAGACATTACAAATAGTTATCCATTCAGTGTAAGCCTAAGCAAAAAAAAAGATGTTCGAAAGATGCATCTTTGCAAGAGTATTGAAAAAACCATCTTGACATCCTTAATTTCCTTTCCACGTCTTTTTTTCTCGAATTTTTTTTATAAAAAAGGTCGCCTAAGCCTTCAAACTTCCGTGAGTAAAAAGAACGACCTAATTCCAATATTTTGCAAAGACGATTAAATATGCGAAAAAGTTGAGAGCTCACGTATTCTCAGATAGTCGGTGATCTTTTTCCGACAACGCTCTTTATAGATTTCCTCTTCTTCGTTAAATTTCCATAACACATCATAAAGCGCTCGAGTAAGGCCGCGAATCTACAAAACATATAGGATCACACTGTTCCTCTCCAATTTGGCATCCTTAAGCAGTGAAGACTCCACAAAACTCGCAGAGCTTGTAAGCGAAACACACCTGATTTCGTTTAATCCGGAAATCGACCATATTGGATCGTTCGGGATGCAATTTCCCGGCTAAATTCACCTCATTATCGAGCTCTAAAAGGGTAGTATTAGTAGAAAAATCTTCTGTCACCTGTAGTAAACCTTCCACAAGTAAAACCTCGACAATCAAGACTCGTTAACACCGAAAATTCACGACTCACTTTTTATTTTCTCTCGTGCGAGCCAAGAGTTAGCTCGAAATTTTTCGACAACGCTGCGAAGTTGCTTCGATTTCTCTAAAACAAGTAAAAACAATCCAAGTTAGCTTAAAAACCAAAAGCAACCTCCATCGGTGGCGGGAGCAAGAAGCAGATCTCCATGAAGAGTGCGTACTTCATCAAGCCAGGACTCGAGCTGACTAACCATACTTCGTAAGTCCGTCATTCGACTTAGGAACTGAAAGCAACTTGCCAAAAAAAGAAGTGAGTTCAGGAAGGAATCCTTATAGTGTTAACCCACATCCTCTAATGATGTTTGCTGTACATCAGGTAATAAGCGAACATTCTCGTGAGCTAAACGACGGTTACGACCAACAGCAGAGTTCACTTTTCCGGTGAGATCCTAAAATAAACGACTCTAGGAAGAAATTTTCGCTTCAAATTATTAAAAGAAAGGAACAAAAAGTTTAATACCATACCTGAAATTCCACTAGGCGATCCTTCACCATCTTTGTTCTTAGGAAATGGTATATCGTTAGTTAAAGAAATCCAGAAAACGGTGGTTATTTGATGAGTAAACAACAACCCGATGAAAACTAAGGCATATTGAAACAAAAATCTGAAAGGTCCAGGAAGATTTCGGATACGAAAACCATACCAGAAGCGTCATAACGGTTCAATCAGAACAAATAGTGTACCTAAGTATAGAGAGAAAACGATTTAGCTCTCTAGTCAACAATTCCAATATCGCACATACTTGTCGTTAAAAGACTACACTTCTGAGAGGAAACAGTTATGATGACATAGTAAGAGGAAGTAATTACTCCACAGAATATCGCTCTACGAACACCTTGGGAGATAAGCTGATCTTCTGATTCATGCTGGAAACCGTTGTTATTAAATACGAATCCAAATTCAGTTAGCGAATTCAGACTGTAGTAATGAACCGACTGCTTCGCTGGTATACAACATAATGAACGTTCGTGGATGCGATCATGATTCACAAATGACTCACGTCGTGCACGACGATATATAAGAACACCTGCAAAGCATTCGATCCCCAATTGCATAACTTTTTAGTCTAACATTTTACTGTAAAGTCAGTATTTCTCAACATTTGTTAAACAAACAGTTCAAAATATGAGCCCATTAAGGCTTCAATAGAGCTCATGAAGCTACAATATGTGTTGTTAATGCTTATATGCTATCATATATGTCGTTTCCTGATGTATCATCGAATGATCGAACTTCGGAGTTATCAGACGAAGCCACATAATGGCCTACTTGTTAAGCGCTCCCAAGTATTCTGTCTCAGGGGAAACCCACCAACAAAAGCTATCACATTACAAGGGCATATATCACGGAGTGGTTGGAGGTGCCCTCATATACACAAGTGGTCGCTAGTTCGACCCCGCGCTCCGGGTTCAGAGTACGTTCCACCTCTCCGGGGTCGTTAAATTAGCTCGTCGGACTTGTCTGGGAAGATTAAGACACTTACTTAATACATTGATAAGCCCTCACAAGCCATCGTGTAGACTAGACCACACATGCACTAAATTATCTCTAACGACGCTCGATGAATCGAATTCACCGGGAGGTTGACCAACGCCGAAAGCTTTTCCAGCTGTTATGCTTCCAGAGGCGGCAGCACATAGCGCTGTGGTTAGAGGCGTCCTGTGATACACATCGCCTTAGGTTCGATCCTACTCTCGGAGAACGAACTTTACCACTCATTCGAGATTGGAAACTTGGCACACTATACTTGCAATTGAGTACGGAAGCAGAGATCTCTTACACTGACACCCTCACGTAAGCAGTTGTACAAAGCGATATATACATTCGGGTACCTCTGTGACACTACGAATCGAGACCAATGCATTGTGCATCTTTGAGGGACAGAACGGGCCTTCTACAACATTAGGCCCTTGCAAAGCCAACGACAATCCTGATATAAGGAAAACATACTAAGTCGTAACAACCAAAAAACTGATTTCGACTTTGCATCGAAATCTAAACCACTCAACGGTTTACCGTCTCATCGTGACTGCGAGGTGTTCCTGGGTGTCGGGTTGCGATGTACACCGCGAGATTCATCACCCTGGCAGTTTCCTAAGCTGAGAAGGAGTCCGGCATTTCCATCAGGAAGCCCAGGTAAGAGAAAACCAAATACCAGGATCCACCACCGCCCTGGTATCAAATCAATCTCATGGTGGCAAGTCTTCCTCTGATCCACAAGTGCGACGACTGCCTGTGGTGATAACGACCTGGGGGCAGACTTTGGCCTGGCTGACCTCGGGACTCCAGGAAACCACAACGGCTAAACCAGGAAAATTCCGAGAAAATGGAAATAATGCAGGGAGCTGCACAACCTGTAAGGGCGGACCATCCAAGTATCCTAGCATTGTTTAAAATCTAGCAGGAAAGACAACAACGTCAAATGTCTAAAAGATCAGAGCTAAAGCACATAGTTCTTTCAAATTTTCGGTAGGCTGGAACTCAACAACACATTTCCCACTTAGCGCTGATGTGGGACAATCGTAAAGGAATCTGGAAAACCACAAACAACAGCAAAGAGGGAAACAGACAGACTTAAATGATTAATTTGACCAGAATTTAGCTAGGAACTGCAATAAACAAACCGTACGCATAACGGTCTACGAACTATTCTTATCCTTAATGAAGTTATAGTATAAGAAATCAATATCTACATACTAAAATGTCAAGAAAACCAATAAGAAACGTCTTTGTAAAGTAGGAGTTAGCTGCCTCACATGATAAGATAGTGTATTTAAACAGGACCAACAGTGATCCTAAAAGTTCTAAGACTTCCCTAAAAACTGCGAAAACTATAAAACTTCCAAAAGTTATTGTAACTGTAAAAAAAATGGATCCTTCCCAGTCTAATATTACACCAAATATACGGGATAAGTAAATCCTGTGCCGACGTCCCTTCCACCCGTGGGGACGAGTTTATCGAGATGAGTCCTGCTACGAAAAACTAAAGGACGAATTCCTTCCGAGCGAGGTGCACTACGGTAGGACGCCACAACACCAAATTGTTTTTGGGCCTAAAATTGAGAACATTATTCAGCCCGATCAAGGATTTTGATGATTTCAGGGTTATTGTTTTGTTGTCTTTCGATGTGTTTTGAATTGTGCGCTATGTTTATCTACTAGAAATGTTTGCGAGCTCTTGTTAGTATGTTGCCGTTCGTTTCACTATGTCAATGGGATATATGCTTAGTCTTCCGACGATTTTACTGAAGAGAACGGATGCTTATTATCATTTCTAAACCTCGATCGATAATCTGAACTGCCATCGCATCCCACTTTAATGTGTCAGCAGCAACCGAATCTATTGATCGGTAAATGGGAAGTGGGTTTGATAGTGATTAACTTGCATAGTGTTTCAGTACACCAGTCGTGTTCGATATACTTTTTTCAAGTGACGAAACAAGGTCCACAGCTTTTCTGGCCATTCAAGGTCGTTCATTCGGCACGATCGATTCGTTGTCACATCTTTGTCTGTCATTTCGCTATTGATTTTGTTGACAGTTCTGCTTCTAGTTTATAAGGACTCAAGTAATCCGCTTGACTGGGGTAGTCGTTGAACTAGGCTTAAAAGACTTCGCAGTTCAGACTGTAGAATCCCTTCATTCTCGTCTACTTTTTATTCAGTGATATATTAACTCGTTTGACCTCACTTTGTAAACCTCGGCCTGTTATTCCTCCATCCCTCATGTTAACATTGGCCAGTTATATCCTTCAACTTTAACGTTTTTATCAAAACTGTTATTCCTTTTGTCTAGCTTTTTTTCTTTTCAGGAAAATGAACCCTACAGACTCGTCTCGATTGACTCAGTATAAGAACAAAGGAAAAGATACGGCACTGAAAAGTAGCAGAGTTGGTGAGGTTAGTTTAAGCACCTAAAGACTTCGTGGTTACCAAATGTTTTTGTGAGCGAGATTATTTATACCTTCTTGTTACCAAGGCCGGTACATGTGATTGGTTTAAACAGTTTGCCATAACAGTAATACCAAATGGCTATCTTATATTTCTCGGTTAATGGAGAACGTCGATATTGCTATACGAAAGCTCAGCTTGTAGTTAACCTTTCTTGCAGTAGACTTTAGCCTATATAAGGCTTCAAAAGTAAACACAATGAAGATAACACAATGAAAATGCGAGTCTTTTTCAAAAATTTTGGTGCTGCGTAAGTCCCTACAGCCGTTGAAACCAACTGAGCTTTGACGCATGACAGTGTCTGTTGGAAATTTTAATGGTTCGTGCTGGAGTTCCTGGACGGTGAACGGGGTTACTGAGAGGCAATCGTTATGACAAGTTGTGCTGTTTAGTACTAGTCCATGCTGTCTTAGTTGTTTCTTCAATGGCGTGCTACCTTAACCACGGAATAATATTCTAGCAAATTTTTGATGATGTACATGTGAAGCTTCTTAGCACGCGTATTGAATTGACTTAAAGGAAGCCAGTGGCTTCCAGGATATGAATATGTGAAGTCATGCAATAACGGAGTAGTGGAACAATATTAAGTGATATCTTTGACGTTATATCGTCTGAAAAGAACGATAGTTTCTTATGTGAAATATGTTTTAACTGTCAAATTTTTTCTAATCTTCAGAACGGGACACAAATTCCATATCTTTTGCAAAGGGCTTATATCTCCATCGCTTTGTAGCCCTTGCACTTACTTAACTTCATTTTAAAAATTGGTAATGAAATTGGAGATCTGGAGTAATCAATGTCGGCAACTGTCTGTTGAAGTACTTGACGCATTAAGAGCCCGTCCTCACTGGTTGTGCAAGGCCAGCATAAGTTCCATTTTCGGAGTTTTGCTGGTTTAGCCAAAGTGTTATCCTGGAGTCCGGAAGTCGGACTTGCCACAGTCTGACCGCGTCGTCGTCACCACCACAGGCACTCGCCGCTCTTATGGATCAGAGGGAGATTTACCACCTTGCGACTAGTTGGATACCAGGACGGTGGTGGATTCTGGTATTGGTTTACTCTTAGCTGGGCTTCCTGATGGAATCTTCAGACTTCTCAGCTTGGGAGACCCTGCGGGAGATGAATGCCCGCTGTACATCACAGCCCGATACCTAACAACACCTAGCTACGATGAGGTGGTAAACTTTTGGGAAGGTTTGTTGAAATTCTTTTCTTATTTATCATTAACAATGTCAATAGTTGCAAATAGTCCTATTTCATGGTTTTTAGGCTGTCACTATTCGTAAAGATAAGAGGGAGGACCTGCTTTCAAAGCGACGCAATATAAATCTCCAGTAGGTTTATCTCGTGTTTGCTGCTAGTAATTGAAGAGTGCAAAATGCTCAAATTATTTTAGAGATGAAAGTGCGCGATCGTTAGCAGAAATGGAAACATTGGACAATAGTGTGCAGTTGCGTCAGATAGTGGCAATGGCGCAAAGTGATGATCCGTCTTTCAAGTTGGCGGCCGTTCAGCAGGTTAAACTTCAGTTCTCACATCCTTTATTTAGGCATCACGCATAATTTTATCACTTTGAAGGCCCGTAAAATGTTGTCATCCGATCGAAATCCACCCATTGACGACCTCATCTCCAGCGACATTCTCCCTATACTCGTCAACTGCCTGGTTTCTGAGGAGTAAATTCTACTTTTCTATTACGTTGGATTATCTTATAAAGTAGTAAGCGAGTCAGGGCGAGGCACGGTTTATCATCATAGAAACTTCTGTCTAGGTCTATGTTTATCAGTACATAATGCTTTTGCACCATCGTTGTGATTCCAGTGTCCACTTGCAATTTGAAGCAGCTTGGGCATTGACGAACATCGCATCTGGAACTTCAGAACAAACGCAAGCGGTGGTATGTTTTTAGTCATTGTTTATATGATGGATTTGGACGAAATCAGTTTAAATATACTAACCAATTTTATAGGTAAACGCTGGTGCAGTACCGCTGTTTCTCGATTTGTTAAGCAGTGCTAATGTAAACGTGTGTGAGCAGGCAGTTTGGGCTCTTGGTAACATCATCGGTCAGTTTGCACCCCATAGGTACACTACTGCTCTACACGTCATTAGGTTCCTACTAGCTAGAATTTTGGCCTGTGATAATCCTGAAGTGCGATGACTTTTTGCTCTCTTGCAATCATAAGAACCTGGAATTTCCTTTCAAAACGACGTAAAAAGAAATGTTCCGGGTACAGTACGATATGGCTTAGGATTTGATTCTGTTACCACCAAATACTTTTGTTTGTTTTCACGCAAAAAAGGAAATAGCAATATGACCATTTTTCTTTCAGGTGACGGTCCACACTTTCGAGATTACTGTATTCAGCTTGGTATCCTTCCTTTACTTCTCAATTTTATTACACCCGAAACACCACTTGGTTTTTTGCGCAATGTTACATGGGTTATTGTACGTATTTACTTTTTCATTACTTTTGCTTCTTATTTGGGTGGCTTCTCTTTTCTTTTGTCCTTTGGTTACGTTTATAAACTTTCATCTATCTAGTGGTCGCTTAGTCTCGCATAATTAAAGATCTAGATATAACGTGTTAGTATTACTACAGTTTGATATCAATACCTGTTCTAGGTCAATTTATGCCGCTCCAAAGACCCTCCACCTACACCAGACATAGTGAAGACAATATTGCCAGCGTTGGTCTTGTTGATCCACCATGACGTAGGTGTAGTTTTCCTACAGTTCTGATTCCACTCAATATTCTGTTTGGTTATAGGATCAAAATATCCTTGTCGATACTGTTTGGGCATTGTCGTATCTTACAGATGGAGGTAACGAACAGATCCAGTTGGTCATCGATAGTGGAGTACGTATAGAAATTCCTTGATAACCATTTGAATTAATTGCTTATGGTGCCCTGTATATGTTTGATTCTCATTGATATATTTGTAGATAGTTCCATCACTTGTACCAATGCTTGGTCATACTGATGTGAAAGTTCAAACGGCAGCACTACGAGCTGTTGGTAATATTGTAACAGGGTCAGATGAGCAAACACAGCTTGTACTGGATTGTGGTGTGCTACAGGAGATGCCTCAACTTCTTTCGCATCATAAGGATAAAATTAATAAAGTGAGAAATAACAAGCTTTTCGCCCTTTTAAGTCAAGATTGTTGATTTTTGCATTGTTTAAGGAAGCTGTATGGTTCTTGTCGAATATCACTGCTGGGAATCAAAGTCAAGTACAGGCCGTGCTCGACGCCGGTCTCATGCCTTTAATCATCAATTTGCTCAGCAAGGCTGATTTTTCCACTCAAAAGGTAACTACTGTTGGTACCATGGCTTGTTTCGGAATGAATTTTGTGGCGGCTTACTACTGCTGCTATTTTCACAGGAAGCCGCGTGGGCTGTGTCGAATGTTACTATTTCCGGCCGACCTGATCAGGTCGAGCAGATGGTTAACTGTGGTGTGATTCAACCATTCTGCGCTCTGTTGGACTGCAAGGAGCCACAAATTATCCAAGTTTGTTCCATATTTTTACCCCCTTGTCTGTTATCTTCTAAAAATAGGTGTTCTTTTTTTTGAAATCGCCAGGAACTCCTTGTCAGCAGGTTTTTTCCGCGTCGGTTTTTGTCGTTGTGTTGTACTCCATCTATTTAAGGTTGTTCTCGATGGTATTAACAACATTCTTAAAATGGCTGGTTCAGGATTAGAATCGATATGCGCCCAAATTGAGGAATGCGGAGGTAGCTCTCGTGACTTACCATCCATGGCGTATCTCTGTCTTTCCTGTGTTACTATTCCATATAAGTTTGCAGGTCTGGACAAAATCGAGCAGCTGCAAAGTCATGATAACGAAGAGATATATAAATTGACCTATGAGATAATTGACACCTATTTCAAGTGCGTTCTGTTCTATTCGCCTCTTTTGACTTTGTTTAAAAACGGAGGAATTTCAGTTCGAATAGTGACGACGAGATCACTAGTGGACAGGATGTAGCAGCTGTGCAGCAACCGGCGCAAGGATGGTCATTCAATTAAGAATAACCTTTTCCATTGACTGTAAATTGCAATTTGGCCTCCCCTCCTCTGTCCTTTAGAGTTTTGGTTTTTGCAGTTAAGAAACTAAATCTGTAAAAACCACTCTAAGAGGACCTGAATGTTAGCAAGCATGTGAATGAAAATGGCTTTTCGTTTAGAAGCAATAGCCTAATTGACCCGGGAGAGAACGAAGAGTGGAAGAATGAGCTATGATTTTCGTTTTTCCGAATTGTTTAGCGTTAGATGTGTTTTTTTAAAAATAATATTGCAGAGAATTCCATAGAAGTTCAATCTTGTAAATTTGCTTTTTTCCTTCATGTTTTATTCATCAGATTCTGTAAAATTAACAGCTAGTTATGTTGACTAGTTACATAAGGTGTGTTAAAAATTGTGCCATCTCTGTTATTCGAGCACTGCAAGGTGGCACAGTTCTCGAGAAACGTTGCGAGCATTGTTTGCTGACTGATGTTCTCAGCTAAATAGTTAACGTCGACAACGAACTAAGGTTTGGTGAGCGATGCGCCCTTTCTCGTCGACGGGTTTGAGAGCTTTTAATTGCCAAAAATAATGCGCGAGTTCGCCTCATTGTTGCAGTTCTGTTAGTTATTTCTAGCGCGCGAATTTAGTTCATAGTCGCTCTCAACTGCGGACGAGTTCGCTTTCTTGTTGTTGTTCCCCTGGGAGGAAAGTGTATGTTACGTTTGTTGTTGTACGAGATTGTTGTGTTGTTTTTCTTCTTATACAGCGTGCTCAATTTTGGACGATTATAATTTATTCAATATTGTGCGTGAATGAGCATGAGATTCAGGCTGTAAACGATTGTGTGAGAAAAGCCGCCCAGTGGGGAAATTCCGCCCGCTCCCCATCCAGTTTGTACCTTTTTTCAAGTTTTGTAATTTTGGAAATGAGATGTCAGTAATACTTTTTTGTGCCTTTTTTCTTATAGACACTGAATGGGGTGTTGTTGCATACTCTGTATACGCTTTCACATACATTTCCGAAAGAATGGTGATACTTTTGTGGTTGGAGTATTCATTACTTAGGCGTAACGTAATACATGAAGAAGCACTTCGAGGAGAAGTCAACACATGCATGATCTCATTGATTGTGTGCCAATTATTTGGGCAGCGTTTCATATTTGATATTGGGCATCGATCAGAGTGATTGATATCAGGAACTGTGGAAAAATGGGAGGAAGAAGTCTGGTTGACAAGGCACTAGTAGCCGTAGTAGCACCACTATGGACGCAGTACTGAACGAACTTAGTGCCAGACTTCTCTAGAAGCCGCTTTTTGATCTACAGCGTGAAGCGAGACCTCTACACGGCTATTGTATGATTCCAGCGGCGGTAGACTCGATTTGAATTCGATAACGTTCTTAAAGAGTAGAAATCCCTAGCCTGAATTATAAGAGACGTGTGGAATTATGGTAACACTCTGATCCACAGTGTTTGATGTTTGGTCGTTGAAAATAAGACGAAAGGGAAAGGTTATATGAAAGGCCATCATAAGGGACTCATTGAACAATTCACTACTTCAAGAACATAGTGACACATCGTAGATGGCGGAAGTGTGCAACCCTTCAGGCTGCGTAACTGCGGTTGTATCGTTTACTTCGCATTTGCTGTGAGAATTCTGGACTTCTAAGAGGTAGTGCCGATCGTTTTCTTGGAGGCACAACTAATCATCGATATACGCTAAAGTCTCGAAATACATCGAACTGCCGTTGTAGCTCAGTACTTAGGTAATGGCAAGATACATTCTGTTCCGATTCGAATGTCTTGCGTTATTTTATAGATAGCCCGTTGTGTGTATGGAAATGAATCAATGTTTTTACGTACTTCGTATACTAGGAAAATCCGAATGGATAGGGCACAACATCCAATCCAACAACTGATGATCTAAATATTTAGACTTCGAATGAGAATCGAATGTCATTCTGTTCGCTTATAGTAATCGTAAGTTGTGGTATTAAAAACGAAAAAGGAACATCGAAGGTTCGGGATATTTCCGCCTTGCTACAAGCATTTAATGTGTCAATGCTGCGCAGAATGCGGTTAGGGATGCTATGGAGAACATGCATGATTAGTCTTTAGGTCATAGCATTGACCAAGTAAGTCTCCATCCCTCTAGATCTAGGTGATTTACAAGGTCCACCCACCTTGCATATCAAGGAACCTCTCAATAGGGGATCGCAAGTCGGTTATCGGTGTGGGCATGTATCGCATTCCCAGATGGTAGACAGTAGGTTAAACGTAAACCTGAATAAGTCGGGAAAGAGGAATTATATACTTCATTTCTCTATCATGGAAAGAGCCTGCGATACGACATTGATGAGTAGAAAAAGTGTAGAGGTCATGGCCATTGATAACCACCTAGTTCTCTTAGGAACTTAGCTGTGGTCTCTACAATGAATACACATCAGTATTAAGTTGAATACTGAATCTGCTTTCTAAGAGAAGATCTATGACGTCATGAAACAGGAGGAGCGAATAAAATCGGATACTTAAGACCGTTCACAACACTTACACGGATACTTGGACGGCTCGTCTTCATGAGTTGTGCGGACCTCAGCAAATTTTGCATCCGTTCTTTAGCACTGTAATCGCCGCCCGTAGTGGTGGTTCGCGGTTCGAGCACAAAGGCCGGTAGGAATCTCATACCTTGAACTGTGAAACAATTACAGCTACGAGAAGAACTGATTGAGCTAGGTAACAAACACGTCCGCCCTTCACGGAGATGGTCATCATAGGGGACGCTTGTATCCCTGTAGAGTCCACTCTACAGTTCTTTTCGTTCATCTTTCGTCTGTTCCTCTCACTATATGATCGGCCCATCTACATTTCGCCATCGATGTCTGGGTCTCGAAGATGAGATGGATTTAAAAGATCAGAGCTTCGCATCCAAACTAAACGTTGTGAGTGCCGCATGAAATTCGGTAGACATCTTTTGAGAGCTCTGTAGGAGATGCGTAGTATTCTTCATGTGGTTGAAGTATCAACCCACATCTCTGCAGCATAACAAAGCGCTGTAGAATCGAAAAGGTGAGCGCGGATTTTCGGGTCCTTCAGTTGGTCGGTGGCTTCCTTGAGAGGCCTGAATGCGGCCCGAGGTGCTCTTCCTCTTCTATCTCGTTCCTCCTTCATATTGTTTTCCATGCTCATTGATCGCCGAAGGTATACTTACAAGGGGTCTCTGCAACCAGAGAGGTTTCGCGAACTGGTTCTTCTTCTGATTTATATTTAGTCTTCTCCCGCTTCGTTGAGGTTATTATTAATCGTAGTCTGTGCTTCGTTGACGCTTCTTGAAAGCTACTTGAAAGGATAATCTTCGTGAACTGCATGTAGAGTACAGTCAATAAGCATATCAGAGAATAGTTACGGAGAACCCTTCGGTCATCTTACTTGGGAGAATGACCGTGCGCAAATCCCTCCAATGATCAGGGATTTTCTCTTTTTGAAGTCTAGATGTCAAGTGGGTTGAGAGAAGTGCATGCAATCTGTGGCCTCAGCTTTAAGGAAATTGACGGTGATAGATATATCGGGTCCTGAGTTTGAAAACGTTAGTGTAGAACTTCGCCATAATCAATTGCACATCATGATAGGAAGGTTTGGTGATCTCATCATTGTTCATCAGGATTTAAAGCAGACCACTATACTCGCACAAGACCCGACGGTGTTTCTTCAGACTGTTTCTTTTTTATGCTGTTTCTAACAATTTCCTTCTATTTGAGGCGATGTATACCTTATAGTTGGGAGTAACTTCTGCAGACTGATAGTAGAACGCATTAATTCGTACTTATCAGCTGAATCTGTCGATGAGTAGCAACTGATGGTAGTGATCTTCTTATGATGTGTTGGATGAAGACGGAGTTCGGCTAAACATGAGGAAAGAATCTCTTAGGAGTCGACGAGATGCACAATGAACGGGTGGACACCGGAAAAATTAAACAGCACGGGAGGCAACAGGCTACTGACAAGAGAGTTCTGTAAGATTTCGCATAGCACTCAGTTCCATCCTTGGTTGTTGCACTGTCATTGATACATTACCATAACCGCTTTCCCAATGCTCATTATCTTCCATCTGAACATCGTTAGACGTGCAGACTTCCTTGTACACCATGGGATTTTTGCCTGCTGCAGAATCAAGTGCACTCATTTCGACATTTCCATCCACAAGCTTGTCTAAAATTCTCCAAGAATTGTTGGCATTCTGGAAGAAACTTAAGTAAGATATGACAAACCTGTGACGAATGCTTGTGATGCAGATATTAGGATGCCGTACCAAAGGTTTCTTAAGACTCCAGCGAAGAAAACATTGTTTCGATACCAACAACGTGCTAGTAAAGTGGAAAATGTGTTGTGGGCTGGCAAGGTTCCTCGTGAAGTCCCGTGTGTGTCAGTATCTCTGTCAGCATACCACTCCTTGTTGCATTATGCAGTTCAATATATATTTTCGATCAATCTGTCGAATATTTCCCAGAAAATCAACCTATTCGAGTTTGCGGAAACAAATCGGTGCTGAGTAATACTAATAATTTTTCAGAAAGATTATGAGAAAATTACTGTTTTGTGAACTGATGTAGTTAGTGAAGGCATCTAGGACTTATCGGCTTAGCAGCTTACGTGTCTGGAGAGTACGTTAACCTCGGTAAAAGCCTATTTTCAAGCCCAACTTAAGCGATGCTGACGAATCAAGGAACGATAGAATGCTTTCTGCGGTATTTTTGAAACGAATAGCACCACATTTTTCTATTCTACTTATTTTTTCAGCAAGGTATCCAAGCTATTTATGAAAGATCAACGGCTGGTCGGTTTAGTCGTTGCTTCTAGGGAGTATCTTAAACTTGATTGCATCCGACGTGGGATCTGAATCTAATTGATACTGAGCATGAAGGGAATGAAAGAAAAAGCTTTAAGAGACAGATTCGACGTCATGCAAGTATGAAGACCCACATCCTTAACACGAACGGCTGTGGAAAATCGACTCGTATCATCGCGACTATGAAGAAAATGAATGGATTGAAACACTGGTCGAGAAAATTTTTATAAGATCCTGCGGTAAAAATTCCGAACGAAAGCGATCATTTTGATGCAGCACTGTTCCTCACAGAGAGCGCTTTCACAAAGTGTAACGCAATATTGCTTATGATCCGCTTATGAGTATCACCAGTTCGTAGTGTAGAAAAAGGGTAAATTTATTCTCATCGTAGAGTAACCAGTATTCCAAGGAGGCTATCGCATTGGTTCCATATTGGTCCAGCCAAACGACTACCATCTGCAATGTTTCTCTGTCACCTCTGCTCTTTGGTGAGGGCAATAAGCTGCTCCGTTCGACCGTTTGCTCAGAACGAGACACCGTCGCCTCAATCCGACCGCGGCCCGCACGCACGCATTCCGGTCGATCTAGAAAACTGTCTGCATGACTGCGTAGTTTCTCCATATAAGAGATTTCTATGTTTCCCTTTTCCTTTTTCTTTCTAAATCTCCCTATTCTCTCAACGGTTCACCTCATCGTGGCTGGGAGGTGTTTATGGGTGTGGGACAGCGATAAACAGCGGAAGGATTCGTCTCCCCGGCAGGGTCTCCCAAGCTAAGAAAGGGTCCGGCGTTTCATCAGGAAGCCTAGCTAACAGTAAACCAGTACCAGGATCCACCACCGTCCTGGTATCAAAATCGCATGGTGGCAAACCTCCCTTTGATCCACAAGGGCTGCGACTGCTTGTGGGGGTGAAGACCTGGGGCAGACTTTGACCAGGTTGGCTTCGGGATTCCAATGAACCACAATGGCTTAACGAGCAAATCTCCTAAAATGGGGATTATGCTGGGACCCGTACAACCAGTGAGGACGGACCGTTGAAGTATCAAGTTTCAAGTAAGTAAGCCCCCTATATCTTA